TGTGTTGCTCCACCAAAAGTCTTCCACAAAACTCCTCTGAGACTATCCTACGCACTCTGAATATGTGTTGGTTTATTTTTTAATATTTTGCCAACACCCATTTTTGTTATTAGGCTTTAGCTTTAGGTAGCTTTAGCTAGCTTCTTGTTTATTTTTCACCTCTCTGACAGTGTCATCAAATGGCTTCCTAAATAATTTTTGTTCAGGATTTTAAACAGCTGGGTGAGTTTTGACTTCCTGTCACTTCAGGAGGTGACCATGATGTTATTTTGAGACAGCCACAGTAGTGGCAACTTGAGCAAAACTGAATGAAGGACTGAAGGCTGAGTACTGGCCTCTCAAAACTGATATTTGCACTCTAGCAGTGTTTGCAACCTACTGCAATTGTAGATGTGTTGCTCCACCAAAAGTCTTCCACAAAACTCCTCTGAGACTATCCTACGCACTATGGGATTGTTATCCAAGATGCAGTTCAGCCAAGGTAGTTTAGAAAAATGTGGCTGTGACGTAAACCTGCAATAATACTAAAGTTGTTTCAATGTATCTAACAGAGATTGACAACTTTTTTCTGTTTAAAAGTTAAGACTGGTTTACATATGAATGCATGAGTTTTTGGTGGTGGGTTTGGGGTGTTTTTGTGTTTGTGTAAAGTCAGGAGCACTCTCTACTTAGATACATAGCTGAGGCACTTCGTAAAATGTGGAGAGCTGTCAGACATGTCTGTGCCAGTTACATTTTAATGTATATGAAATCATTTTGATTGCTACAGGCTTTTGATTTGTAACCTGAGAAGTTTTTTCCAGCATAGAACTAAGATATGATGCTGAAAAGATTGCTTAGCATTGGTATGTAAACAGGAGGATTCCTCAAAGAGGTTGCTGCTAAGTAGTTCTAAGTAGTAAGTTGATGTGGAGATGTCATGAACTTTCTTTCATTATGATAAATATCGCTTATTTTAGTATGTGCGGCCTCCACCAAACTGCATCTTGCCTGCTTTCTTTCTTTTCCAACCCTCAAGGCCAAATAGAGTTTTTGTTAAAACTTTAGTGATAAATGAGAACTTTTAAACGTTGCAAGGCTCCTCTTTCAGCATCCTCCACTTTATAAACAGTTCAGTAATTTATATTGACCTTTCCTCCTTTTTGGCTGAGAAGTCTCTTCAGTACTGTGTATCTCTGTCTTCTGTGTCATGGCCTATCCCCAGCTGTAAGGATTTATCTGTGGTAGTATGAAGTATAGAGACCAACCACATGTGCCCAGCTACTGAAACTGATTCCTCAAGACCACTGCTTGCAAATGCTTGATAGGCACTCTATTCAAAGAGAAATTACTTGGGGAGTCTACTTGGAAGGCTGTTTTTCCTCGCTGTCCAGTTACATTATTTTTAGATTATGCTGTTCTCGATCCTTGTGCATTTGCGCTTTTTAAGTACTCTTCTGGCTTCTTGTAGATGCCAAGATTGTAGGCAACTTGCTATGCCTGTTTAAATTGTTTCTTCTTCCACTCCTTAGCCACTGACCATGAAGTTATAGAGTTTCATTTACTTCTGATAATATAATTGCATCAGCATATCTTACCTCTTGAAAAAAAATATATTTCAGGAGAGGTTGATTGTGGTGATGATGACAGGGAATCACGAAAACTATTCTTTTGAATACAATGCGTTGTGTATTCTTTTGAATACAATGTATTCAGAGGGCAAAAACACTTGAGCTTGTCTGCAATCATGGAATATGGCTTGAGGAACCTGGCAGATCACAGCCCTTGTAACTAATGAAAGACCAGTAAGCTGAACAACCTTTTTTTATGTTTTATGACCTCTCACTAAGATAGTAAAGAATCTGTTGCTCCATCTTTTAAAAGGATAGTTGTCTATGACTGTGATATTCTGAGTGTAATATTCACCGTGTTTGAAGGAGCTGGAGTGTCTAGCACCATTATTGGATAATAGGGATTTTTTTAATGTATTGCTGAGAGGTCAGGCAGAAACAGGAACTTCTCTTCAAGATTATGTTGAAGAGCAAGTGATAGAAGGCCGGTAACATAGGAATACAATAATTAAAGGTAATAGAGTATGTTTGTAGATGTTCCTTGCCATTGTCCCCCCCATCTTTTGAGTCAACCTGAGAAAGAAAGACTGAACAAAGAATTTGGAGGTGGTGGCATTATTCATCATGCATGGATTTTGACACTGTTAGATTTTCATTCTTTGGGGCCTTGTCCCAAAATCTGCTGCCTTTTTTTTTTTTTTTTCCTGTTTTCTCCTTCCTGAAGAGCTGTTCTATACAGTGTACAGTAGTTCTCTGAAGAAAAAACACATTTCAATATGATTTAGTATGTGCTCAATTTCAGCTTCCAATTCTGCCCCCACATTTTTTGGTGAGGGTTTGTGAGATGTTTCGTGGAAAAGAAACAGACTTTGCTGCTAGGAACTATGAACCTTAGAGAGTGTAAAGGAAACAGCTTTTCTGTTAGCTTGTTAATCTCAAAGTGGGAGGTGTGGAGAGAAATCTGTTTCTGTCTTTTCTGAAATACTTAAACACAGATGTTTGAAAGACATTAAGTCAAACTGTGAATTTTGCACAACTGTCTGTCTTTATTGTGACATTTTGGGACTTGTAAACCTTGAGATGTGTCCTTCTGTTCTTCCCGGACCATTAAAAATCTTTGCTACAATGTGTAGACATTGAAGTTGAGCCTTGGACCTCTCCTCTCTCCTCTGCTACGCAATTGCACTTGCTGCTCTGTCCTTTGTTGACTGACTCTTTGTGGTCGTTTAGAATGGTCTTTGCCTAAACTCGGTTTGTTGAGTGCCCCAGCTTCAGAACCTAAGTCTGGGGTTTTTTAATCAATTTAATTTGCAAGTCCTAGTGATTAATTGGGAAAAAAAACCCCAAACAACAGTGAGGTTATTTGCCACATGGCAACCAACACTAGCACAAGGCTACAGCAGGAATGCATGGTTGAAAGTGAGGGGAAGAGAGTAGTAGTGTCCTTGTGGCTTTTGTTGCCGACAGCCTGGCAGGTCCTGCCATACTGGAAAGGGAGAGGGATTAACTCTTTCTTTAACCACTGGTTTCCTGCCCTGCAGAGTATGCTTATGTTGTTTTTCTGTCTGCATTTGCCATACGTGACTTAGATCATTCCCTCCTGTGAGGTCCTTAGTGCTGCTCATTCAGGGCAGAGAACAAAGAGGCTGCATGGAAAGGAGAAGGGTTTTGGTTAAGGGAAAAGCGCTCTAAGGTTAAGGGTGGGGGAGTCCAGTGCTCTGCTCCTGCCTGTGTCAGGCAGAAGCTTCTGAATGGATACAAAGCTGGAGTTGTGTTTCAGTGGACTAGCTGGGGCCACAAAGGGATGGGATCTTTTCAAAGGGAGCACACGGAGTGCTTTTGAAATGGTGCAGGTAGTGGAGCAAGTATTGCACAAGAAGATGCATTGTAAATCTTATGATAACGTGTTTTAGCCCTGGTATTCTTTAGGGCTCCTTCATGCCATTTAGCTGCAAGTTTCTCTGCAAAAGTGTGTCATGCTGTAAGTGTAGTAGTATTGCTTTGTATCCTTTGTGGATACATTTTAAGCTAAGTCTCTCAAGGTAGCTAAGTTAGGATACTTAAACAAGAAATGCATATTTAATCAATGATTTGTTTTTTGGGGACAACAGACCAGGGGAAATGAGCATCTGTAATTTATTCACTGCAGTGTTGCAAAGTATTAAATGGATTACAGCCTTTCTACATTTCAGGATTACATAAGATAAATCTTTGAGTGAACTTGTTTGCCATGGCAGCAAGGTATCCATAGTTTCACTTCAGTGTAGGAATAAGTAGAAAAAAAGTGTATGATTAACTGCAGCAGAATTTATGTGTGGGTTTTTTTTGTTTTTGGTTTTTGTTTTTTTTTTCTTGTGTGTGTATGCTTTTTTTTTTTTTTGTTTTATTGATTCTACTGTCCCATTTGTGGCTAGGAAGAAAAACCAGCATGACTTGATCACTCTGGCAAGGTTAATGATGTAATTTTATGGCCAGTGTCAAAAGATGGCTGGCTGTTACATGGTGGCTACTGCCTTTTCTTTACGGAATTCAGTCAGCCTCTGAAAAATCTTATGCTGCACAGAATTCCATGAAATTCAGGAAACTGTTTATTGAAATATAAATAAAAGAAGAAGACTTGAACTGCAAGGTGTGCTAATTTTACAGGTTACAGATACATCTGTTACCAGCCCTAGAATTTGTTAAGTCTGAAATTTTTTAAACTGGTGAAAATTTAGTGCCAGCTCTTAATCCTGTCTTTTAGCTGGTAAATCATTGTTACTCATGCGATCCTGTGAAAGTCTGTGTTTCCACACTGGTCAGAAAGTTTGTACAGATGATATTTCAGTAGAACTTAGTGTTCTTGGATTCGTCTTCTGTGCTTTCGGGGAAGAGAGGTATTTCTTTCACCTGTCAATAGAGACTGTTTCTCATCTGATTTATAGCTGCAAAGGTTGGAACTATGGGCTTCAAATAGTTGTTCTTCTGTATTTTGGAAAGGAAAGGCTATAATCTGTTTTTGACTATTTGTTTTGGTTTTGTTTATTTTCTTTTTGTTCTGCTTGCTTTTTGTTAGGTTGATTTGGTGTTTTCTTGGTTTGGTTTTCTTTATTTTGATGTCTTGGGTTTTTTGTGGATTTTTGTTTGTATTTGTTTGGATTTTTTGTTTGTTTAAGTAGTGTTAGAAATATGTATAAATTTGGAAAGTTTCTCTAGCTAGTCACTAGCCAAGAAGTAAATTGACTTTTCTTGGCCCTGTGCCCTCACATAAATGCTATATCTTGCTGGTACTTACTTTAGCATGGATCAGTTTGGGCACATTTGCCTGATGTTGTTCACGTTTCTAGTAGCTTAGCCCTCTTCATTCAGAGTGGAAAGAGTTCATTTTCCGTTCATTGAGTGCTGTTCTGCTATTTGTATTGAACACCTACTTTTAGAGAAAGTTTCATTATCCTTCTTTGGTGAAACTTCAGGTGTCCCAATTCTATGGGCTGGATTACCATCTGGACTTCTGTGAGTCAGAGTGCTGAAGATAGAAAATATCCTACTTCTGTGTTTAATATGACATCATTATAAGTGTATTATTTTGTCTCCTCTGGGCAGTAAAGATGGAAAATTTTGTACTTTGGTTAACAGAGGAAGCTACTGGTTCCTGGAAATCCTACCATTTGTGTTTTGGATTGGTTTGTTTTTTTTTCCAAAAAAGGAAGGGAGATGCTTCTAGTCTTAAAAGGCACTTTTGAAGCTTTCTAAAATTCATTGGTGCTTGGTGCAGTGTGAATGTACGTATCCCATAAATGTGGGTGCGTTGATTTAATATTTCAGTTTTGCTCTTTTTTAGTATTTGAAAGGAGAAAGCATTGACTGGTATATACTACTTTTAAATAAAATGTGATGAAGTAGAGGAAGGCTTGGAAAGAACTGTTGGTTTCTCTTGCTGTTTTAGGCCTTCCTATTATGTATTATATGTGTTCATTTTATCTTCATTACAAATGCTGTTTAGATTTTTTTTTAATCAGTTGGCTCATCTGGCTTTCAGCTGAAAACAGGAATGTGTTAATTTTCATGACAGGAGTGGGTAGTTTAGCTTGTGTTTTCATTTGGTTGTTTTTTTTTTCCAAAAAAGGAAGGGAGATGCTTCTAGTCTTAAAAGGCACTTTTGAAGCTTTCTAAAATTCATTGGTGCTTGGTGCAGTGTGAATGTACGTATCCCATAAATGTGGGTGCGTTGATTTAATGTTTCAGTATTTCAGTTTTGCTCTTTTTTAGTATTTGAAAGGAGAAAGCATTGACTGGTATATACTACTTTTAAATAAAATGTGATGAAGTAGAGGAAGGCTTGGAAAGAACTGTTGGTTTCTCTTGCTGTTTTAGGCCTTCCTATTATGTATTATATGTGTTCATTTTATCTTCATTACAAATGCTGTTTAGATTTTTTTTTAATCAGTTGGCTCATCTGGCTTTCAACTGAAAACAGGAATGTGTTAATTTTCATGACAGGAGTGGGTAGTTTAGCTTGTGTTTTCATTAATGTTTCTGAAATGGTTAAACCAAAACCCATTCAGACTTGAGACTCTGTTCATTGTGTCTTAATAATTTGTCATACTTGAACACGTCAGTTAGTAGCAATTTAGTGGCAATGCCAAGACAGTGTAGTAGTAACTGGTTTGTGCTCTCGTGGCTCTCTCATCTCTTAAATCTTTTAGTAAGTAAGCTTTAGTTAAGGTCTGTCTTCTGCTTTCTGCACCGTGTTTCTGCAAAGGAAATATTTAATAACTGCAAAAGTGTCACTTTGAATAAATATTTTGATTCATATATTTCATGGCTTGATATTTGCATTTAAATACAATATACATAAAATGAGAGGCCACTTAATAAAAAATATTCAAGTCCTTCCCTAGAAGAATTCCCACCCTCACTAGTAATGTAAAACCTTGTCATTTCCTTGTTGGGCTAATCAATTAGCTAACATTACAGCTGGATTGCAAAGTTACTTTTGAGATTGTAGTAATGAAAGTCTGACAACCTAAAAATCAGTGGAAATATTCACAAATTCAAATCTTGGAGTAAAGCTGCTGCTTGTTAGAGAATCTGTTTCCCCATTGTTTGTTTCACACAGTCTGTTGTTAACTTGGAAAGTGTGAAAAAACAGCTTATGCCATGGCCATGTAGGCAGAAGATAGCAGTATTATGAACTGTGAGGAGAAAAATGGGCAAAGCAATCTTAAAGTTGTCCAAAAGGATAAGATCTGCTTTTAGGATGGGAATACACTTCTAATTTGAAAGGGCTGTCTCAATACAAGAATTTTACATCTGAGGAAGGACAATGGTGTGTATCACTTAATTATTTAGCTGTTGTGAAAGGAATTATTCTGGTTTCCTAAAAGCATTGAAGCTGAGTGAATGTTTTAATGAGCTTCTTGGAGATCTTGTGGATCATACAGGATTAATGTGCAAGGACAGAAGTATCCAACCCACTTTATTCTTCTCTGCCAGTGCGCTTGTTGCATCTAACCTAGTGAAGCTGGTTCTTTGTTGTCTCCTTTCACAGCCACTTCTCCCTGTCTTGTGTCTGTGATTTGTATCTTCTGTACTGGCATGGCGTTGTTCTTGGCTCTGCGTAGCAACCAGCTGCAAGCTTGCATAGTGAGTTCCAAAAATATGGGGAAATAGTGGATGAATAATTCTAAATTCGTGGTGCCGTGGTTAAATCCTTGTTGGGAATTAAGGATCACACAAGTGCTCATTCATTCCCCCCTGATTCCCTTGCCAGTGGGAAGAAGAATGAGAAAAAAAAGGTAAACCTGTACATAAGAAAAATTTAATCATTGAAACAAAATAACACAACAATAATAATTATAGGCTGGACATGACATAAATATAGAATAGTACCAGTAATGAATATAACATAGTACTAAATATGCTAATAACAGTAATAATAATAATTGTTAATAATAATTATAATGGTAAGGAGAGGGAAAGGGAGTGGCAAAACCTGACAGAAACAAGTAGGTTGATCAGAATCTGTGGACCTGTGCTTAGTTTGTCCCCCACCAGTGACTGGGGAGTGCTTTGCTTGCATAAATTGGAAAGTGAGTGTTACTGTTTGTTGCATTTGCGCTTAAGGTAACCATTCACACAGAGTTTTATCTGCTAAGAACCACTAATAACAATTTCAGGTATTATTCCAAAAGAATATTTAAGAGGTTTGTTATGTAACTCCATCATTAATAAAAACCAAATTGTGTATATAATCACTGTGGAAAGAGCAAGTCTTTCATTATCCCTTAGTGTTGAGAAGGAAAAGGTCATTGAGATTTTTTTTTGTCTTTGGGTGGAATTGGTTTGCTTTGTTTTGTTTTTTACTTTTTTTTCTTTTTCTCATCAAGTTTCATGGGATGCTGGATTCCCCATTACATTTTTATCCTGGTTTTCACCTACTGTCTTTGACAACTGAGTGTTTGTCCAGTTCACTGATGTTCACATCAAAAGTATTTTTCATGAAATACATTTTTGCATCCGATCCCTAGCAGCTAACAAATCCTCACTAGTCATATATGTAATCAGGAACTGTAACTCAAATTTTCTAAAGTATTGTCTTCCTGAAGCAATTATTTAGTCCCTAGTGATAGCCTCCTTTGCATTGTAACAGTAACCTGTTAATTCTTATTCTAAGATTTTTATAAAAATTGACTGTTTATATCCATGTGGATCAGAGGTCTAGATTAATATTCAGTAAAATTAAAGAACCCTTTTCTCTCATTGCATGATAGTTGATGGAAGGTATGAAGGCCTACTAGGCCTAGTTATTTAAGTCAAGTGGCAGAGGTTTTTCACTCTACCCCTTTCTTTTCCCCAGAGTCTTGTGTGACAGGATCATAGAATAGTTTGTGTTGTTAAGGGGCCTTTAAATGTCAGGTAGTCCAACCCTCCTCCCGTCCTTCCCCCAGCCCCTTCCCCTGGCTTTGGGCAGGAACATCTTCAACTAGATCAGGTTGTGCAGAGCCTAGCCCAGCCTTACTGGGGATGGGGCATCTACCACTTCTCTGTTCCAGTGTTTCACCACCCTCATTGTAGAATAATTCTTCCTTATCTATTCTGAATCTATGATTTTTTTTCAATTTAAAACAGTTACTGCTTTTCTGGTTGCTACAGGGCCTATTCAAAAGTGTGTCCCTGTCCTCCCTTTAAGTACTGAAAGGCCACAGTGAGGTCTCACTGAAGCCTTCTCTTCTTCTCCAGGCTGAACAACACCAACTCTCCTAGCCTTTCCTCATAGGAAGAAAGCCCTACTGAGGGCCTGCTCTAACATGTCCATGTCTTCCTTGTATGAAGGACTCTAGAGCTGGATGTAGTACAAAGAGTCTCATGAGAGAGTAGTAGAAGGGGAAAATCACCTCCTTTAACCTTCTGACCATGCATGTTTCTGACTAATGTTCAGCTTCAACCAATAGCACCGCCAGGCCCTTTGCAGGGCTGCTCTCAATCTGTTCATCCCCTGGCCTGGGTTGGTAGGGGGGTTTGCCCCAGCTTGGATGCAGTGCTTGGTCTTGAGCTTCATGAGATTCATGTGTGCCCACAGACATAGAGGCTCCATACAGCGGTTCAAGAAGTGGGAGAAAAGCCCCAATAATCATAACAGCAAACAGAAATTAGTTTTCAGTGTTGAGGAACTAAGAGCAAGAACTGCATTGCAAGCACTCTAGAAGTAGGAGCAGAGGAGCAGTTCATGCAGGAAGGGAGAGTAGTCTTCCAGGAGGAGATTTATCACAATGCACGGGAAGAGTGCTGTTTTTAAGAGCTGTTTAGAGGGACACACACAAATTTGCTTGTCTCAATAGCTGGAACTCTGCGTCTTGCCACATTCTTGTCATTTGTCACATTCTTATAATTTTGTCCCTTCTGGAAAGTGAACTCTTACTTTCCTAGAGGAAAGTAAGTTTAGCATATTGTAGAACGGGCAATGCTATAGGAGTTTAACTTCGTAAATTTGAAAAGTTATTTTGTGTGTAGTTTTTTGAAGCAAATTTGTAACTTTCGTATCTCTGCAGGATATGAAAAGCATATAGTTCTTTATTTTTTAAGATTTGTGTAAATGTTTTGCAGTATAAATTTGGCACAATTGAAATATAAAAATTAAATTTATAGGTTTTTTTACTAAAACTAAATATAAAAAATACATAAACTAAATGTAAAAGTAAATTTCATTTATTATGACATTTAAATGTATATGCAGATAAAAGACACATTAGTTTAAGCCTTTCTTTCTTTTCTATAACTATAGACTGTAGTCTAACTATAAGAAACGTTGTTTTCCTCAGTGGCAGTCTTGCATATGTGTTTATGGGAGGAAGAAAGAGTTCAGATAGGTTACCTGAACCTTAATCACAGTTTAGACATTTTTTTCTATGTAAAGTGTAAGGGAAGTATGATGGTGAAATTATACACAAAATAACAGAATGTGCATCTTTTTCTTCTGTGTTTTGAAAATAGATCACCTTCTTTAACCATCACTGTAGTGGTATTATCTACATACACTTTTATTTAGTCAAGGAAGTGTTTTGTATATCAAGTTACAAAATAAATCTAAAACAACCTGGTTAGTTTGCACTCTGAAGACCTTAGTTATATTGCTGTTGCTTATTTGAAAAGAGCATTTAACATTGCCTTATTCTGGAAAACTGTAACAGTAGTAGTTCTTAAGAGATTTCTTGATTTGGGTCTTATGCAGCAAAGTGATTTCAATTTTCATTGTTTAAATGTATAATACACAAAACTCGGAAGAAAGGTTTTCATTGATAATTTTATCTTTTTAGCATCTTAAACTTCTTCAGGCATAAGTATCCACAATGTTATTGCAGCCCTTTTTGTTGTAGCTGTAAACTATTATATATTGTTTAATATTTTGCCGAGTAGGAGATTCAGAGTTGTCTCTGTATTCCTTCAACTGTGTTGCCACAAATCAGAAACTATTGGTAAATTCAGTTTTCTGTAAAATAGCAATTCAGTGTTGTATCCTGTTGTGTTGTGTTTTCATGCATGGGTTTTTTTCCTCACCCACCCACTCCAATTTTCACCTAGTGTCCTGACAATCTATGATGGCTTCTTGATTTCTGGAGAGGCAGCTGTGGAGTTTTTTCAAGTAGTTCAGACCGTGGTGTAAGAAAATCTGAATCAGAAGTGCAGAAGTCACTTCTGTATGTCTTCTAATGCACTCAGTAATTTATTCATGTGCTTTTGGAACATGGACATCATTCATTACTATTATCTGGTCACAGTTGATCAGGAAACATGCTCTGGGAGCTCAATTTTTGACTCTTCATGGATATAGTGGCGCTTTTTTTCCTACTTGAGTGTTAGATTTTTTTCTCCAGAATAAAGGGAAAAAAGGAAAGTTCACCTAGATGCCTGTACTCCAAATTAATGTTAAATGGCATTGCTAGAGTGTCTACGTGACTAATTGTACCTTACATGACCTAGAGTGCTTATACTAAAGGTATAATAATATACTATTCCAAAGGTATAAGGAGAATCTGGCTATTTTGCACTTGACTTTCTGAGAGCCTTCTCAGAGAAAGACCTTCAAAATTTCCCACTGAAACATGAATTGTCTTTTATTGTAATACACACATATAAATGGTATTTATTGGGAAATGACTAACAACTGTTACTCTTTCAAATGCCACTGAAGCATGAATGGTTGTACGTTATGTTCAGAAAAAAATGATTGATGTATCTAACATTTATGTACTCTGAAACTGCAAGTGTTCTTGTAGACTGCCTTATCCCTTGTGTGTATGAACAAATTTGCTTTCTACAAATAAGCCCAAGTTTCCTGTAAGAGGAGGACAGAAGTAGAGAGCACTAGGCAGATACCCTCCAAATAATACCATAAAAGTTGTTTTTACACACTCAACCACATAATTTAAAAATAATGTTATTTTAAAGTAAATTGTCAAGTAACTTAAACCAGTTAAAAAGACTGTCCTGAAGTGCACTGATTCTTCTCACCAAGAGAGCAAGGAAGAACAGAGCTTTGCTATGGACTGTGGTGCATGTCACTGTGTTAATACATCAGCATGAAATATTCAGAATTCTAGTAGTGTATAGACCAATTAGGGTTTAGCAGCATTGTGTTCTTCTGTTCCATCTGATAGTACGGATTAATCAAGTTTGGAATACATATGTCGATTTACATTTCATCTTCTCATTGTGGGGAGTAGATGAGCATTCTGTGGGATCACTATCCTTCTAAAAATTGAGTTTCTTTCTTTTGTTGGTTGGGAGGGTGTACTTGAATATATACACAAGAACATATGGAAGTACCTGAATGCACTGATGACTTTCAGTAAGTAGAAAATGCAATAGAAAGGTTGCTTTTTGGAGAATGTGATACTGGTTTTTGTAGCAGTTTGTTGAGAAAACTAGAGTATGAAGCTCTGTTCATTTCTTTGATAGCTATTAAATATAAAGTTTTTTAAACTGAACATGTACCCTAAATATGTGGAGTTTATTCTTTTTGCTATTTGGTAGTATTTTTTTTCAAACATTTGAAAATTTCTTTACATTGAAGGCAACAAGGATAACTTTTTCCTTTCTCCTATAGATCCAAACATTTAATGTTGAGGCACCATGCCAGACCGTGGAAGATCTAACGAGTGGGGTTGTGATGGCCCAGGTTCTTCAAAAAATGTAAGTAATTGTTTACTTAATTAATTAAATACAGACAGTTTTTATCTGGACATTTTTGTATATTTACATGTGTTCTACCTTGCCTGATATTCCCTAAGGATGTGACTTAGATAGTACTTTAAAGTGGAACATGACTAATCATTTTTTTCTCTGTAGTGTTGCGGCGAACACTCTGTGTGTGGAGACACTAGGCTTCTATTTTCAGAAGGCTGATTTATTATCTTAATATATTATATTGAAATATTACATGAAAACTATATTAAAAGAACAGAGAGAAAAGAATGATCAGAAGGCTACAAAGAACAAGAATAGAACAGAATGCATAACAAAATCCTGTGACTGCTCACAGCCTTGGCACAGGTGGCTGTGATTGGTCATCAATTGAAAACAATCCACATGGACCAATGGAAGAGGCACCTGTTGCATTCCACAGCAGCAGATAGTTATTGTTTACATTTCTTTCCGGGGGATTCCAGCTCCTCAGGAGGGAAAAATCCTAGGAAGAGATGTCTCATAAAATATCATAGCTACACTGTAGTTTACAGACAACTATCTTAAATGAAAAAATAAATTGTTTTAGACAAGAGTTCATTCAAGTGTGATCTTACTGGAAATTAACCTGAATTAAAACTAAACTTACAGATTCACACTTAAAATTGAAATCAGTGCAAGGTAATAGCTTTAGTTAATTTGCCCTGATTGTTGTTTGAAACTGTAGTCAGTAATGTTAGAAGTAGTTTAATGTAATAAAATGTCAATGATAAACTGGATGGATCTGTCAGTTTAGTTGTTTGCAGTTGGAAGTACTTTTCCATTTGTTTCCACTAATGCTCATCTGTTCACCAGACACTACTGAGATTATATGAGGATATAAAGAAGCAGCCATTGGGTTATTTATACACAGGATTGGTAAGATCTTACTGAGGCTTTTCTTCTTGAGGCTAAACAAACACAGCTCACTCAATCTCACCTCACTTGGCAGTCTGTTAATCATCTCAGTTGCCCTTTGCTGAACTTCCATGTATGTCCAGGTGTCACTCTTAGTGGGGAGGCCTGGATGCAGCAGTTCAGATAAGGTTTTAACAGATCTGAGCAGTACCTCCCTCGGCCTGCTGGTAGCGATCTTCCCAACACAGCCCAGGTTTTGGTTTGCCTTCTTTGCTGCAAGGACACATTGCTGGAGTGTGTTCCACTTGGTTTCTGCCTGGTTTCTTGTCTGCAAGGCTGTTTTCCAGCCAGTGACCCCAGTATATACTGGTGAATAGGATTTGTTTGCACTTAACTTTTCTGAAATGTATAAGGTTCCTCTCAGCTTGTTTTTCCACCTTGCGAAATTTCTCCTAAATGGCAACGCAACTTTACATTTTGGTATCCTATGAAAAATTGCCCTCTGTCCCATCATCTGGATCCCTGCTCAAGACATTTAATAGTATTGACCCCTTGGGTATGCTGCTAGTGAACTGGCCTGCAGCTGGATTTCATGCTTCTGAAACCTCTGAGCCTAGCATTTCAGCCATTATTAAGTCCCACCTTGCTATCCAGTTACCCTAGCAATGCTTTATTGGTTCTTCTGTGAAGATGTCATCCTGATCAGGCAGTCTATAGCAGGAATCTGTAACACTGTCACTCATGTTGAACTGCTTAGTCATTCTGACTAGTAATCTCTCAGCTGGCTCATACCTCTTCTAAGACAGAGCTCACGCATTCCCTCTGGTCTGTCGCAGAAAGGGCATCTTTCTGTCACTGCCTTCTCAGCTTGTTCTTCCTAAGGGGTCTGTATATGCTCATGGCAGCCGCCTTGGCATGTGAGCCATCCTACCATGACTTCACGATCCCAGTGGGTCTGTGACCTTGTAACAGGGTTCTACATACAGAACTCTGTTTATTCCTATTTGTTCTCTATGCTGCCTGCATTAGTGCACAAGCATTCCACGTATGCATCCAGTCTTTCTGATTCCCAAAAATGAAGCTTTCCCCAGAGTGTTCTTTCTTAGGTCTTTCTATATTTATGTGCATATGCTTGAGGTGATCCCACTTTACCCAGACCTGTTTTGTTGACTATGAGGTGTCTTTTGTTCATATCATTCCTCACCCCTAGTTTTTCAACAGAGTTCACGTCTTTGTAGCTTAATATTCATTTTTTTGTATAAAACTGTTCTTACCACTTTGGCCAGCCTGTTTGTGAAGATGCGTCTGCCCACTATAGTCTGGTGGATCCTATCTCTTCCAAGCAGTCCTTATTCTGAAAAGGGTTTAATGGTTATCAAAACCAAAACTTTGTTGCCAACACTGTATTACAGCTGGTTGTTGACTTGCAGGCGTCTGTCTGCTGCTCAGACCTCCTTCTCACTAACTGGTGCAACAGGGGAGAGCACCACCCGAGCCTTGACCATACCTTCCAAAGATGCGTAATCACATTTGGCACTTTGGAGGCCCAGGTGGAAGAGCTGAAGGAATAATCATGTGAGGGCTGGACAAGCTTCAGCAGTCATTCAACAATGCCCGGAATTCAAACCCTGAGCAAGCAACAGCCCTTCTTGATGTCAGTCAGAAGATGAGGGTCCTCCATCCTGTTCTAGCCTTTAGCACTTCCCTCTTGTGCTGCTGCGTGGCTCAGGTTTACTGAACACAGATGGTTTGTTTGACAGAGCTCCTAGGGCTGTAACTGCTATGAGGGCACTGAGTCTGTTCTTTAGCTGCAGATTCTCAGGAGCAGGAGCCTTCCTCCTAGTGAGAGAAGGAACTGCCAGTTCACAGGAAGAAAAAAAAAGGAGGAAAAGTAAATCTCAATGTAGTCAAGATTTTTTAGCATGTGGTTCTGAGATACTATTTTCAGCTGATGAACTGAACTTTAAAAATAAATACACAATACAAATATTGTATTTCTGTAGCATGATTTTAAAATACGTGAAGCTTGCCTAAACAATTTATAATTCTTTCTTTATGTTCTACATAATAATTTGAACATGCCAAAATTAGTATTCAACTGTCTTACTTTATGGTTGTTGTGCTTCAGATTTAACATTTTGCATACTTATGTAATGAACAGACATATTCTCATGCTGAAATTTAGCAACAGTATTGCTAAATCTTGACTGCATTACTGCTGAGATAAACCTTGAAGAGCAGCAGCAATCTGATCTTGGATTGTACAACAGGAACGATAACATGAACAATCTTTGAGAGAAAATATTGCTTTTTTGTTTTTCTTTTTAAAACAGAATAAACAGAAGGGAAGTAGTATAAGATAAGAAGTGTAACAGAAGATTAGTCTAATTGATTTTTGAAGTAGAAACTAAGGGTTGTAGAAAAGCGAAACATTTTCTCTTTCCCTGGACATGAGAGTGGAATATTGGTGATCAGCAATATTCCACTCTCAGGATACAGAGAATACAGGATCAGCATTTTCTAGTCAGAAGACTGATCAGGAGCATGTTGACAAAGCCATTTTAAATATTCTTTCTTGAAAACAAAACCAAATTCAATACTAGCAGTGAAATCCTCCTGTTGGTCCTTTGAACAAAAATAACAGGAAGACTACTTCACTGGGAGATGGGGCATGTTCAACAATGTGAAGCAAGTCTAGAGCAGGCTTTTCTGCTTTTCTTTTTATATGAGCAGCTCCCACTAGTATTCCCACTCTGCCCCAAGAGAGATAGTCATGTAGAATACATGAAGGCAGCTACATGCTTAAGGTTATTTGGAAAAGTCATGCAGTGATGTTAAATAGCAAGGAGCAAGCCTAAAAGCATCAGGTCGCTGCAGACATATCATTTGCAGAGAAAACTTGAATAGTTGTCTTTGACATGAAAATCTCTCAAAAAGTTAATCTTCAAAGGAAAAATATGTTGTTTTGACTGCGGACACAACTTAAATGCCATTACTCTTATTCTATTGAGAAGGATAAACTACTATTTTTGTAATTTTTCAAGGAAAAAATGAAAATTGGGTGTTTCTTAGTATATTGCTTCCTGTTAAAGGTTTGTTTTGAGTGTGTGTTCTTTGAGCCTAATAACAGTGGGAGGTTGATTAAGTAAAGGTAAGGAGGAGGCAGTTCTGCCAACTTTGTGTGAATCAGGATTTTACTGTAGTAAATTAATTAATGTTTAAAAATACTAAAGAGCAGTTTAATATATCCAGTAAAGAAGAGTATCAATTAAAATTTAAAGCTGTTGGAGTGGTCCATTGATCTGGATATATTTCCAGATAGGGGAGTGAGGATAGCATTTCTTCCCAAAAACTTAAAGGCTTAAGAGTGAATTCTATTATTTCTTTTTTTTTTCCTTACATCTGTCTTCTTAGGAAAAGTCCACTGGTACTTATGAGGATGGGAGATAGTAGGTCATGATGAGGAGCAGTTTTTGAGAGATCCCTAGCTCAGGGAATTAGTTGTTTTAGACATACATAAAATTTGCAGAAAACAGAACTGTAGGATTTAGTCAGAAAAAGGAAGAAAAGAGGAAAGAGAAGAGGAAGAACATTGCTTGCTCATCAGCCGATAAAAACAGCTTGTACTGTGCACAACAGTGCCTTGTACCAAGTGGACGGGGCTGACAGTTTCTTCTTTGCTTCTTAATTCTTCATACATCATCCTCAATATTTTTTGCACTCACAGTAGCAGCCCATTTGTAGATAAGTGCCAGACATATAACAAATGCAGCAGACTTTTCTTCTACAAAACTGCTGGAATAAGCTGTGAGAAGAAAAGGTTACAGAGGAAGTTACTGACACCTTCAGAAACTTTTTGCTATTGATGTAGTGTGTGATAGCAAATACCAGAAATATGTTCTACATAACCAAGAATGAAAACTTTGCTTGCAGTCTCAGTTGTTAGAAAAACAAAGGACATTTTCTTCCTTTATAGCATTAAAACTTAATCTTTGAATTTCAGCTTTAAATACCATTGAATGTAATTCTCTAGTGCTAACTGTATTATCTTGGAGGAAGAAATTCAGCCTATGTTTTTAACTTTTGTGTGTTATTCTGTAAGATTTATTATTTCTATTCAGATGTGGTGATCCCTCTGACTAGCATTGATATGAAATACAGTAAGAAGAAAACTGCCTGTACACTGTTGATGATGATTTTGAAGAGTGTTGTACTACAGGACTAAAGAATGGAAGCAAAAAAATTGGTTTCATTTTTTATGAGTAGACTGTTGGTCTAAAATAGTGTAGCTTGTGCTGGTACAAGTGCCATAGCTTGCTTCTGAATCACATCCTTTTTTTTGTGCAGTTTGCACTGATGTTACTTATGTTTTCACTGTCCACTGATATCACCATAATAGCAGGATTTCCTGTTTTCAAATTTTCCTTTCATCCCAATCTGGAGACTGTTTAATACCAGGTGTTCCTCTTGTTTTGATTATTTCTTCCTCTGTCATACTGGCCTTGGTAAATGTAGAAAATTGTATATATTTTCTTCTGTCATCTGTGCATTGCACCCGTCTCAATGAATTATTCATGATATTATACATTGTAACACACTGCATGTATTTTAACACATGCAAAACACCAAAGCCATGCTTTTGTATGTCACTGGGGGAGGGAAATTTTTGTAAACACATTTTTGAAGCAACTTACTGTACCACTGTAAAAATGAGTAATAATCATGAGTTATACTACATGCTCTGTGGGTTGGTTTTCTTTAGAAGAGTATTTCTGTCTCTTGGCATCTGTGATGCAGAGAGATGATTGCTTAAATAAAGGAAAATTTGCATACAAAATAAGATGGAGATGGTATAAATGAACACTGCTGAAAACATCACATGAAGTGATAGAGCATTAACAACAGCACAAGTATCTTGTGCTCTGAAGAAAAGTCTCAGTTATCTGCAGTACTAGTGAGACAGTAGGCAGCAATCAACTGATGTGCAAATACCTTTCTAAACCTGAAAGTTAGCCAGTGCTGGAGATTGTGTAAATTTGGATCTAGGCTCAGGAACTTACTGAATTCAAAATACGTAGTTCATGTATGAGTCATCTCATGGTAATGAAGATGCTCCAGTTAATTTTCTGATGTAGCTGCTCACTTCTCAGCCACACATTTTCGTATTTGCTTTTTCAAACACTCTGAGAATAATGCTGTTGCTTTCCAGTGAAATGGACTAAGGTGGCCTGAATTTGGTTGAATCCTGATCCCCAAAAATATAGCGAAAGGAGACTTGTTTGCAGCAAGGGCTGTGAGTGATCTAACATCTGGGAGCCCCTTTTTAAAAATATATTTAGAAGTTCTTGTGGAAAAGTTTTTATTTCAGGTTTGATTTCCAGTAGTTTGTTACATAGAGAGAGCATTGCTGTTGGTACTAGTAATGAATTTTAATGAGACTCTTGAAAAGAAAGAAAACTATAATGGTGATGAGGTTGAGGAAAGGGTGATCATTCTAGACTTGATTGGTGTTGAAAACCCAATCTTTTGCTTTTCTGCTTATTGTGTCCTGGCAAAGAGTTTTTGCAGTGCTATTAATTATTGCGTAACCTGTATGAAGTTCTCTAAAAAGAATTGTTGGTGCTATTTTGACCATTGTTAGATGATATTGATTTCAACTGGATTGCTTATCAGCTGCTGGACCCTTGGATGCTTCCATGAGGTTTGTGTACATACAAAAGAAAAAACAAAAGGGATCTGTGGAAGAGGACTACCACACTGAGTTTAGATTTATTTCTCAGAGACCTTCCTTAAGTATGTCTGATGATGTATATCAGGGTTTAGATAGTTTATGACTTTCATCTAGACTGTAAAAGACAGTTGCTGGTCCATGTGTTGCTTTTATTGCAGTAGTAGCTGAGAAAAACTGCTTAGTTTCTGCTGAATTTCAGGCTTTCAGTGTGAAGTAAGATGGACCTAACTCTGAAGTCTTGTTAGTGTTCCTCAGCTGATTCTCTTATTGGTGCTGTTATTTTTGAAGACTGGATATGCAATATCAGCTACTCAGTCAGTCCAAATATAATTTTGCTTGTTGGATGTTTTTTATTCTTACCCATGTTGCTTCCTAGAACCATTATTTACCATGAAAATGGTATGTCAAGGATTGGTGTATTTATGGCACTACAGCCTTGAAGCAACTGAAGATGTTAGTGGCCAAGTGCAACCCTTGAAATTATATGGTACAGTCCTTGAAGAAGTCCTGTTGGGTTTTTTTTGATGAGGAAGCATAGGGCATGCCTGCTTTCTCTCTCAGCTGCATAAATATTTTGTAACTCTGAGTCTTTTGTTAAGCTAGCTTATTTATGTGTTTGCAGTTCCCAGAAGACCCATTTGGCAGTCATTAGGGTATTTTTTGAAACCCACACCTAAAATGGGATTTGAGCTGTCATTCTTTTCATTACTGTCCAGATAATTTTCTTGTGATTGAGTGGAAATTAGGCAAATGAAGGCTTTTTCCTTAAGGCTTTTTTCAAGGAAACCTATTTGTTTCATGTAAAAGCTGAATGTAAACTTAATTTATGTGTCAGAGATCTTACATACACTTGAATCTATGTCATTCTTAAGTGTACTTGTCTTCTTGTGGCAGAGAGGCCATTTGAAAGCTATTTGAAAACATATATTTCAAAACCAGATGATAGTCAGGATAAGACATTGCTTTTTCTGTTCCGTAATTTAAAATTCTGTCATCTGTGCTAGAACTGTACTGTTTTTGAATGGAAGTAATTTGGAGTCATCAACTTAACTAGTAATTAAAGCTGTTCTTCCAGATATATGTTTGTAGATGCCATGTCAAGGGAAACGCAATATGCTGTAATCTTCACCAGAGTCTGTAGCAAAGTGTGCAAAAATAACAATGAAAATGTGTCAGTAGAGAAAAATTGCTATTTGTGATCTTCCTCCACTGATGTGTATTGTAGTTGTAGTACAGCTTGCAGACCTTGATGCATTGTGAAGACACTGTGGAGAAGATGGAATACAGCATGTACTGTGCTTTGCATCAGATGCAAAGCGTGGCTGCAAAGTTTGTGCTCTAATAAAAGTACTGATGTAATTGCCAGTTTACCGTATATATGATATGGATGTTATTTGACTCTCCAGGCATATTCAGAGTTCTCTTGAAGTTTTGCCAAAAGATCTCATGGTGTCTTGCCCTTGAAAAAAGACCTCAGTCCAGAAAGAACCCTTTTATGTTTAGAAGATGCAGCAGTAAATCTTAAACAGTAATCAATGGCAAATGCAGCAGTATAAGTCCAGAAAATAGAGTACTTCACCTGAAACTGTAAGACAAATTCTTAAAAACATTTTGCTAACAATAGCAAAATAGGCTGTATTGACTTCATATGTTGGATGAAATATGAGTATTTCCTTATGTTTTCCTACTCCTTTAAAAGGGTTATTATATAGTACATTATTTATCCTTAATTCTGATTATAGCATTTTCAAAATTCTCTATGATAAAGGGAAAATTTGACTGAATTGAGCAGTAGAAAATGTTAGCCTTTTAGATGGTCTTTGAGCTTGGCAGCGGAAGAGAGAGTCTCAGGAGGTGTGTTGAAGAAGCAGCTTGTGGAAGATGCTTTGAGAAAAAATGAATAGGGAGAAGTTGTCCATAGAAGTAGAAATAGTTCTCTGTTCTTTTTCTTCATTGTCTTGTCAAAAGTGCAGAGGACAGAAAAACTTCTGAGGAAGGATGTTCACAAAAAGATTTGTGTAGGTTACTGTGACAAGAGGATTTCAAAAACTGATAGTGTTTGGTAGATGAAATAGTGAAGTGTGTTCTTAGTCATAAAAACTTTAGTGATGCTTCCTAGCTCTTCTCACTCTATCAAGACAGCATACGTTTTGTTCAGTTTCAGGCTTTTATTTTAGAAGCTGAATAGTTGTAAGCAGTGTGCAATGGTAGGGATCCACAATGTGTGGAAAAGTAATAATTTTTGACAATTTTAAGAAATGCAAGTAAATACTGCTGCAACACCAGAGGAGAAATAAAGAGGTAGGACTTATGGAGGGAAAACTGGCAAAATGCATTCAAAATACACAGAAGCTTCCTCAAAAGCATAAGCTGCTTATGGCGCACAAATGAAGCTGTGCTGTCAACAGGGTGAAAGTTCTTAGAAAAGTGAGAAAGGGATTCTGAAGTACTTCAAATATTCAGGCCGTGTGTCAGATACAAGAGGAAGTCATTTAAATGAACTCAAACCTGAGATAAGAGCTTAATATTGAATGTGTACTCAAAATTTCTGTAATGTGTTTTTAATGAATACACTTCTTATTTTTCAGAGATCCAGCTTATTTTGATGAAAATTGGCTGAACAGAATCAAAACAGAAGTAGGAGATAATTGGAGGCTAAAGGTATTTGACTGACTTTGCTTGTCTATGAATCTGTATTTCAGTACTTAATACAGTATTGAGTCTAAATATTCTCACATTTCTGGTTTAGGATCTTGCTTTATAGACAGTATTTTGAATTTTAGACAATTTTAATAACACTTACTTGTTTTTGTCTTGTATTGTCCTGCACAGTTTCAGCAAAGACATTTTGAATTTGTAAACAGGTTTTAATGATTTAAAAGGAAAATCTTAAAGTAAATGTTACATTAATTACCTCTCATTTTTCAAACATTGAATGAGAGATTTTTTTTTAGTGCATAGTGTGAAAGCAGCTTTTAAAAAGTCAGCTTTTTTGAGAAGCAACTGCATAAAAATAGGAACATAATTAGCAATATATTTAAAGAAAAATTGCAACGTGTTGCTTCCTTTTACTTCGTCAGCTCTGCAGAGCTACTGAGTTTTAAGGGAGGAAGTTGTGTTTTTCCTGTGTTTCTCACTCAGCATGATTTTTAATCACAGTCTGTTTGCTGGGTTGTTTGTATCACTTGGCATTCTAGCACTTCTCTGCAAACCTGAAGGAAAAAGAATTTACAAGAACTATGAATGAGGAACATTTTGCTTTAGAATGTGAAGAACACTGTCTCACGTGCAGATGTTAGTATAGCTTTTGATTAGTTTGTTTCAGAGAATGATCTGTGTGCTTCTCTAAATTTCTGTTTTCAGCCTGACTAATTTGGGGGAAGAAAAATAGTTAGGAATTTACTGTTAGTTCTTGTTTCCTGTAAAACCGTTTTGTTCCAGCCACCAAAACCCATTCTGAGCATCTGGGGAAGGACTAAAACTGTGAAATGCTCTAGTACTTACAGGCTTGTCTACATCACTTTGTCAGTTTCAGGGACGGTCAGAGACAGAATGCTGCCTGAGACAAAGATGGCGCACACCACTGCTGTTTATGTTTTGACTTGGCCAGGAAATGTGTATCAGCATGATTTCTGCTGTCTGACCAGCTGTGTGAAGTCTGGAATGCTTTAGAATGTTTTGTCTACTAGGGCTGCCAGCAAAAGTGAGGGTACATTGATGAGGATATATTAGCTGCTGAATAAGAGACATGATTCCTAGAAAAACCTTTAGGACTGTTTTGGCCTACATCTGCTGCATGTAGAGCACTTAATTTATATTAACTTCTCAAAGAATTGTATGGAATAGCAAATGAACAGCTGGATACAAGGTCTTATTTTTCTGTAAAATTTTTTTTGTTTGTTTTTCCTAAGGAATTTTGAAGTCTTGGCTGTTAAATGTGGAGGATAACAAACTGAAAACTGTTGGTTATAATAGCATTTGAGCTAATTGAATGGGGAGCAGCAGCTTCTATTACTGTCATATGGAATTTGAGGAATAAATATTTTATGTCTCCCACCATTTTGGCAGATGTAAAAGCTTAGCAGGTATGAAAAAAGAACAAGCTGAACAATCTAGTAATTTCCTTATGTGACTTAGGTTGGCAAAGCATCAGGTCTAATTTCAGTTTCTTGCTGTTGTCATTCCATCTTGCTTTTCAAGTGTCCATGTAAACAAGAACTAAAGACTTATTTTTTTGTTTTCCTTAAGAAATATGTATAATTCAGCTTTTTGTATACATTTTTGTAGACCACTTCCCTTTTCATGAAGAATATTAAAAGGCACAAGTATGATACTTTAACTCTTGTTTTTTAATCTGGACGTAATCCTATACTTTGCCAACAGTTTTTTATATGTGAGTAAACATTATTAGGAGTCTAGATCTCCAAATGCCTATCATCCAATCCTGCATTTAAAGTCTGGCTTGTAGGAACACTACCTATGTGCATTTATATTAATAGAATTGTTCAGCTTGGAAAAGACTTAAGATCAAGTTAACTCTACCAAGTCCACACTAAATCATTACCCTAAGCTCCACATCTACACCTCTTCTAAATGCCTTCAGGGATAGTAACTCTTCTTCCCTGGGCAGCCTGTTCCAATGCTTGAAAATGTCTTTGGTGAAGAAATTTTTCATAATACCCAATTTTAATTTCCCCTGGGGTAACTTGAGACCATTTCCTCTTGTCCTGTCACTTGTTAACTGGGAGAAGAGACTGACCCTCCTTTTAGAAATATATTCGTTACTGGATATGTATCATAGTTGCATGACTCTAGAATATAGTTTTCCCTTCATACTTTAAGAAGTGCCTTGAGAAATGATAATTGGATTATCTCAAGTGTTGTGGTAATGAGCTACATTAATTTGGTGTTGCTAAACATGGTCACTCTTTTGTCTCTGATGCCATCTATTGTAACGGTCACCACTTGTACCATCTCTTGGTATTGTGAACCATGTAAAGCATCTGGTCTAGTAGGGGGAATACAGAAAAACAATCTAAATGCAGTGTGTAGGTAGTTTTGTGAAATAGTGGTTAGGAGGGCTGGTAGAGAATGGTGTAGGTCTTGTACGGCCTGCCTAACCACTGTTCATGGAAGTACTCAGAAAATTATAGAATCATAGAGTTGTTAAGTTTGGGAAAGACCTTTGAGTCCAGCTGTCAACCTAGCACCACCACTGTGTTCACCACAGCCCAATATGTCACCAAGTGCCATATCTGCACATTTTTTTGAACACTTCCATGGATGATGACTCTACCATTTTGCTTGGCAGTTTGTTCCAATGCTCTACAACCCTTTCTGTGAAAATCTTTTACCTAATATTTTACCTAAAACTTACCTGATGCCTCTTGATACAGTTTCTTCTTGTCCTGGCACTTGTTACCTGGGAGAAGGCAATGAGTGATGTGATTGTGTTTTGAATTTTGTGTTGTCCTCTGTGGAGAAGAAACAAGAACATAAGGCTGAGATTTTTTTTGGGAGGAGGCAGGAGGGGGATTCACGGGTTTGGTTAGTTTGGCTTTTTTAGCATTTTGCTTTCTGATAACTGCAGTGTTTTTACTGTTGCTGTATCATTTGAGAGAAAAAAAAAACCCCAAAACTCACAGGGATGTTTTTAAATTCTTGGTTTCAGGACAAGTTGCCAGACTTGGGAAATTGAGCAATGCACAGTAGAGAAAAGGGGAAATGCTAAAACTTGGGGAACTTGCAAAATAGGAACCATTCAGCAAGCATTGTGGTTCCTAGAGCTAACCATATCTTTGTCTACTGTAGAGAAGTGTTATTTCTTCAGGGTTAAAATTTCATGCTTATAGCATACATCAATGTACATAGTAGTTTGTGTTTTCCTTTGGGCAACAAAAAGACTTTTCACTGCTGCAATTTTATGATGGTTTACAAACATAAAAAAGCTAAGCCATTAACTCTTTCCTCATGTACAATGAACACTTCTATATAGTCCAGATTTAAATTGTGTACAACATAGTATTTTGTGGCTGAGGAAGATGCCATCTTGAACATAAAAACTATACTGAAAATAAAAAGCAGCTTAGAAAATATTTTGACTTTGCAGGAATGAAGTTCCCTAATCAAGAAAAAAATTACTGATTTGATTCATGTGCATCAGTTTTGGCAATTACAGAATAAACTGTTGGCTCTCTGAGGGATGGCATAAATGTCCCCCTTCCCCTCGTCCTCTTTCATTCAGTGTGGAAAGCTTAGGAAGAAAAGGAAACACATTGTTCAGCTTGATTTCTGACTTTTTCTTCTGAACTTTTCATTTTGGCATTCAGGCTACAGCATCAATTTAAAGTACAGTTTATTAATGTTTTAGTAGCAAACTGTGTTAGTCTTGTGAACCTTCACTATCTAGTCTTTCTCTAGGTTCCACCTATAATCAGTGATGAGACACGTTCCTGCAAAATGCAGTTTAAATCAGAAACCATATGCCTGTGAGAGTGGTGCAAACAGTGAACACATGTGCTCCCTCCCCTTCTTGGTGTGTGCACACACACACCCACACGCCCATGCCCATCCACCCCACACCCCACCTGTTAACTGTAAATGGATAAAAATGTACCTTAATGAGATATTCAAGGCTTATTGGTTAAGAATTCCCACACCTCTTGAAAGGGTGCACTAGCAACATTTCCAGATATTATTCAAGATTTGAAATTGAAAAAAGAAAAGGCAATTTGCACAGAGCCTCCAGCGCAAACAGGGTTTCAGTCATACGTGTGATATAAGAGTAATGCAAAATTGGACACTGTCTGCCACAATGTTGGAGAAAAACCAGGAAGTTAGATAACCTATGCTCACTTTTTGTCAGCAATCACAAGCTTAATGGCATTGCCCACCCCATTGGCCTTTCCCTTTGTTACACAACAGTGTTAGTAAAGAGAGAAATCTAGACAGACTGCACTTACAAACCTGAGATTTGAAACAGTAAGCAAGTTGTAATTAATAGAGATTTTATATGACAAGTGAGAATAAAAGAAAAACAGGAGAAAAAAACAGGCAACGATTAAGTCTTATGGTGTTGGCAGATCAAATGATCTCTGCCTTCATTCCAGTCAGTTTGTCAGGTTAATGCTGTGTAATAAGGGTCAGTGTCGTACTGAGCACCGTGTGCTTAGTATGTAGTACTGTACTATAGCCAAGACGGCTGTCAGCAGAGAGGGTAATGATAATTTAATGTAGAGAACAGCCACACAACTCTGGTGTGGCTATTAGTGAAATTCAGGTGTTCAAAGAAGTCAGAATATTGAGGTTGCATCAATATTCTCAGATGGTAAAGAAATTGAAAATGGATAGAGTTTTGTCTAGAAATACTTATTGGTCCATCTGTTGTGAATTAGGTGCAACAGATTTCTGAGGTGAAACAACCAACAAATTCCTGAGGTGAAATAAAGCATAGTTGTCACTTTTTTTACCCCAGTAAACGTCACATCTTTTCCAGCAGAAGTATGGCTGCAGGGAATGAATGTTAAAGGTGTTGGGAGGGTAGTATGAATATTTTTGTGGAAAAGCAAGAACAAATAGGCATCCCATGTGGTCATGGGCTGACATCCGAACAATGGTTTAGTACTTTATAGTCATAATCTGTATTGGCAATTCTGTCTGTTGTGGTCTGACATTACATCATTTAATGGTCATTGTTAACTACATTTAGGTTTTCCTAAGTGCTTAAAAAAGTGGAAAGTAATTCTGAACAACTGTCACCTGGTGTGACTTAGAATTCTGATCTAATTGCTTGTCTTTAACATTTTCTTAGGCTGCTGTTCATTGTCATGTGGCTGCTTGAGGTCTTCATCTCATATGCTTTGACCTTATAAATGTTGCTGGAACTACTCAGTTCAATTTCCAAGTACAAAATATTAGTGGTAGTTTCCCTATGATGATCTTTTCCCTGCCAGGGGCAGTAAAACCATCTAAGTTTATTGACTGCAAGCAAGTTAGGAAAAAAATGGAGAGCTGTTTGAATAATACTGAAGATCATGTTTAAGTTTAAGTCAGTCCTAGTCTTAAAAGAAGTCTATAAAGAAGCTGCTTTAACCTCACAATTGTCTGATTGTGTGCCAAATACAAAGATGGTACAGTTAATTCTTGAAAATAAATTACTCTGGTACTGTTGATTGACAGTGGGGTGAAATAGGATGGCGAAGATTTCTTTTTCAGTTTGTTTGCTGTTCTCTTCTTTGAAGGTACTGCCCTATGAGCTCATTTTCATGATGAATTTTGATCAATATTGGTTTTGTTTCAGTATCTCGACTTCAAACACTTAAGAGTTATGTAGTGGAAGGTGGCTCTTTGTGTTTAAGGAATTTTAATTCAAAAATGCTTACAAGGAGAGGGGAAAAGAAGTATTTCACAGGTTTCCATTTGGTTTCTCATTTTTTTGGGATTATGTTCAAGTTCAAGGTTCCTCACAAATGTTCTCATCGGTAAACTGGACTTAAATTCTGCAACATGACCCTTGCGTTTCCATGGCTCTTTCTGCAGCAGACTCAGGTAAATTATAAACCAGAAGATTTTAGTTAATCAAGTTTGAAAATAATATTCCAATCAGTGAAGTATTCTTTGTGATGATTTGATATAAAAATAAAATTTCTTAATTTCTTTAAATTCTGAAATCTGTTGCTGGCTTTGGTTATGATTATACATTGCCTTTGAGTGGTGGTCTTGGCTGCTGTTGGACAGACACCTAGGAAATAGTTACAACTCTTACAGAATCATGCTGTGTTGTGTGTAATAGTACAGAAAAGGTATGTGCTTTGGTGTAGAAGGTGTAAACTGCCTATTATGCCATTTTGGCAGTGACAGTAAATGTTCTCATGTACATATAGTATAGCATCTCTAGTTCTCATTCTGGGTTGTCAGGGTATTTGATGTGTCACTTTTCAGGTCCAAATGAATTTTTGTTTCTTATATGACTTAAAATCCAGTGATTATGGAGGCAGTCAGAATGTTCCTATGTCTTAATAAAGAATCAACTTCTGGCACTTCTATCCAAAAGGGAGTAGATTAATAGGAGTCAGGTAACCAGATTGTTATCACTTTGGTTTTCTTGGAAAAATCTTACAGTGTGTGTATCCTGTTCCTTTCTTGAGTCTGCAATTTACTTTCATCAGGTCATTTTGTTTGTTGACCATATTGAAGTGTTGAGTTTGTCCTTGGATTTCAGTATCATGTTTCCTAACATCCATCAGGTCATTTGAAAGGTAAATAATTTCTGTCACTGGACAGAATCTTCTAGCTGGATATTTCTGGAATGCAGTCAAGAATATAAAATTTATGGTGGGCTCCAAAAGCAATTAGAACTTGAGAGGTTTTGCTCTTCTTTCATTGCAGTTCCACAGTTTGCTGCTGTGGCTGCTGCTGTCAGTGAGAGAACTTTGTGAATCCCAGTTATATTGGTTTAGTCTTTGTGGATCCTGTTTAAACTTCAGTCATACAATCATTTAGGTTGGTAAAGATCCTTAAGATCATAGAATCCAACCATAAACTGCCAAGTCCATCAATGAGTCTTGTCCCAGCATACCACATCTACACAGCTATTTGCACACCACAAGGATGGTGACTCAGTCATGTCCTGGGTAGCCTGTTACAATGCTTGATAATGCTTTCCAATAAAGAGATGTTTCCTGATACTCTTCCTGGCAAAAAACTCTTCCTGGTAAAACTTGAAGCCTTTTCCTCTTGTCCCATCTTGTTACCTGAGAGAAGAGGCTGACCACCACAGCCTCCTTTCAGGGAGTTGTAAAGAGTGATAAGGTCACCCCTGAGCCTCCTTTTCTCCAAGCTAAACACCCCCAGCTCTCTCAGCCATTCCTTTGTCCTAGGAAACAGTGTGCCACTTCTGTTATCTAAATTATTTTCTTAAATACTTGAACAGTAATTGATGGTAATCTCTAGTGCAAAGATTCTTTTTTTTTTCTTCTGAATTTCACCTGTGAGACCCACGGGCATTTTTATAATTTTAAACACACTATTTCCAGAGACTTGACACAAATGGATTTTTGCTGGGAAGGGAGCAATACGCAGTACTAGAGGAATGTGACATTCTGTACAGCAGGAGATACTTTACTGATGCCGTTGGTTATACAAGTGAACCTTTGGTTATACAAGCTACCTTTGCATAGCAGTGAAGTCATCTTGGAGAAGTGTAAATTTTGCTAGTAAGTCTGCCACTGTAAGGCAGACATTGATTTGTAAAAACTGGGAGGAGAGACAGAGAATGACAAGAACAAAAATAAAAGAGCTAAGAAGAATAATTAATGAGAAAAACAGCAAATTCAGCTTATATGGGTTGAGAATAAAGGATGATATTAAGCAGTAGCTGGTTTTGGTTTGGAAGAAGAGGTTTAGCTCTGCGGAAAGTAGATTACTAGGATACTTCAAGAGAAGAAGGGAGGGAAATAATGTTTTAACTTCTGGATGCAAAGATAATCCTAAGATAAACAAATATCTAAAAACATTCATGCCATAGGTTCTGATTTAAAGCCTATCCAAAACAATGTTATATTTTTCATAAATTTGAATGGGTTCTGTGAGTTCATAAAGATTTGTGATCACATCTGGAAGTCTGGTCGTAAGGGCCTCTTGCATAACTTTCATGATTCTAAATTTAACTGTGCGTAAATAATGTAATTATATCCTTCTTTTGTGTGATTCTTCTGTGATTACCCACTTTATGATGATTTCTCTGTAAAATACTTGCTGTATTTATTGTATTTCCTCTTTCTTGTCAAATAGGTAAGCAATCTGAAGAAAATTTTAAAAGGAATACTGGATTACAACCATGAGGTAAGAACCATTTGAACTAGTTAGTCTTCATCTGCTTGCCTTTAAATCCTGTGTTTTAGTTAACCTGTGGAAGATAAATTGTATTCTGCAGGTTAAGTTCTGACATTTTCTTGCAGACCTTTTGGTATATATAGTGATTCATGGTCTATTCCCTAGTCTTGGACTTCTTTAAACCTTCCCACCTGCTTTATTGAATACTCGGGAGTAGCAGAGAAGCCCGATACACAAATTTTCTCATGTGAGGAATAGATGACTTTACTGATTATGTTCTGATGATGGACTTTGTGTCTGATGTACTCTAATGTACCTGTGTCTGATCTTTTTCCTTTCTCCAGTGCAGCTAAAGTCTGCTCTTTTCCTTATTTTTCTCTTGGGAGAGTGAGTGGAGAGCATATCTAGACTCTCCCTGCATTAAGATTTTAAATGAAATATTTTAATTCAGGTGTATTGGACTCAGTCTTTGTCATTCTCTCTTATTTTGAGCAAACTCAGCACATAATTACTCCAGAGGAGACCGTATTTTTTCTTTCAGTGGTGAATCTTCAGCTGAAATATGGTTTCAGTGATGTTTGAGACGAATTGATCTGTACAGGCGGCAGCACAAAATCCATAATATGCACGTTCTAGACATTGCTTGTTTCAAAATACTGTCTTCTCCTAAATACTACAGTGATTAAGTTATTTGTTAATAAATTGAAGTAGTTCAGAAAGAAAAATTTAGTTATAGGAGGTCATCTTCAGTAAATGATTAGGTATCCATGTTTAAATAAATGTTGAAAAGTGATGATTAAGCAAGGTGGTTATGACTGGGTACACTTAAAAAGAAACAGATCAGGTTTTTGTTATGGAAAATTAACATTACTAAGACAAAGTGATGCAGACTTCTTTTTGGTTGGTTAGTATGTATGATGATTAAGTTTCTGGTATCCAAACTACTATTAGTCAAGTTCTGAGCAGATTCAAGCTGATTAATTTCTGTAAAGGTAGTGCATGTTTATAAATCTCACTGAATTTTTGTTTAGGTTGGTATTTTTCCTGCTGAGGCAATGCCGGAGCTGATAGTAGGGGTAATCTGGCTTCTGCTAATGAATTCTGCTTGTTTTCCTCAACATTACTCCCTCCCCTGCTATGAAAATATAGATATATATATGGGTTTTACCTGATGCAGTTAAAAGCATTTGGAAAATGTATATGCTAATATTGTTCACCCTCAAAAATTCAGAAATTTGTATTGCGCTCAAAAGAACAATCAGTAAAAATGCTACATTTGCAGTCATTGTCTGTTTAAAATATAGATGAACAAGAAGCCTAGGTTAACTATAGCTTTCATGCTTTGTGCTGCCTCATTTAATCATGCTGCAGACCTCTGCTGCTTGGAACTAAAACTTTTAGGTTTTTTGGAAATGTATAATTCTTTTGTCTTTTGAAAATGGGTTAAATGCTCTCTTTCATCTCAAGATAGTAATTATATAGTCCGTCCTTCATTTTCATATTTTTCAGGACTTTTGATGGCTCTTTTTGGTTCTTTTTCTTTAAATTAAATTTTTTCTCTTGTTTATTTCAAACTCTGTGACACCTTCACATCCTTGGCTTCTTCCTAGTGCCTGCCAATTTACTTCTTCCCTTCAGCTTTCCTTAACAGGAGTTTTATTGTCACTGACTTGAAGTTACTCTAGTGTTGTTAACTTACCCAGCATTGCATTTGAAAGAAATTCAGGAACTGTGGATCAATATATAAATGCATACCAGAATGAAAACACATTGTATTTTCTGTTAATGTGGTCTGTGTATGATGGTAATATTTTCCATTGTGGTTGATGTATTCACAGAATTCTTTTGACCTAAAGGTCTTTTCCAACAAGAATCAATCTGCGTCCTTTAAAGTATGCAGAGATTTTTAGTAATGTTGTAGTTAATTCTTTGAGAAAACTGCTTAAAAATCCTACCATTACAAAACAAACTGTACATAATCAGAACCAAACCACAATACTTCCATGAAACCCAGGCCTACTAACTTTACAATAGCTTGTGTTTTTGTATTCTTCCTATACGCTATGTTTTTTGTAAATGCCTTAACCTGATTTCTGTTTTTCTTGGGTATTGCACAAAAAAGAGCATACAGCAAACACATGACTGATTCCCTCTATATAGTCATTGTTTCCTTATTGCACCCTGTTTAAGATGTTACAGTTTCTTTTTATCTGCAATTAATGTGTCAGTGATTTGTTTAATTCCAAATTTCATATTCATATTTTCAACCCTCTGTTCAGTAAAGAGCAATTTAGCAGAATTGTCTAGTTCCTTCTACTGCCAATCATTAATCCTTAATGATCTTTAATGATAAATCAGATAACACTAATAGCGAGTCACACGGGCTTTTGTTTTGCAGGGTTTTTTCTTTCTTTCTGCATGTGGGCTGTTTAATTACATATCATTGTACTACTACCTCAGATTCTCTTCCACTGAACAGCTTTCTTAGCTGTAAGAGTTGTCAGATATCCTTAAATTTAAAGTGTGAGGTCTGGTGATCTGAGTTTTTTGCTGTCTTGTATTTGTCACCTGTCAGTGTTAGATATATGTATTGTATAGATGAAACATTTAATGTTTCAACATTTAATTCTTTAAGAAAAAATCTTCCTAAGTGTTCATCTAGTAGTTGCTTGTGTGTTGAGGCAGTCATGTTTATCTTTTCATAAATATTATTGTATCAAACAGCATGATTTTAGAGTGGGGTGTTACATAAAGCAATTAGTTTGTTTTGAAGGTGTATTCAAAACTATAGTAAAGCAAGAGTGAATTGCTGTTGTTGATTCCAAATCACCTTCGTATGAAATAAATTGATGGGTATATGTGCAGTAATATACAGCCATGTATGTACCTTGTCTTTATGCAGATTCTAGGGCAACAGATAAATGACTTCACCCTTCCTGATGTTAACCTGATTGGAGAGCATGCTGATGCTGCTGAGCTTGGGAGAATGCTTCAACTTATTTTGGGATGCGCTGTGAATTGTGAACAGAAGCAAGGTAATAAATTTTGAAAACACGTTTTCTTGGTTGTTGTGCAACTATTAAGGAGAGAAATTATGTTTCTTGGGTTACTGCCAGAAACAGATTATTTTTTTTTAATAATAATGATGATGTTAGTTTGTTGTACAGATAGTAACTGTTTTTTGGTGTAAACTTTACTGCTTTTGGAGACTCAGACTGGAATTGAATTTCCTTCTAAGAAGAGTATTTTCAGTTTTGGTTTGCTGAGCTGAAAAATCAGTCTACAAAGAAAAAAAATTCTTGGGTACACCTTTTAACCATTTACGAGGTAGATCAGGATAGTTAAGAATGGAAACATGTGATTATTGCATTATACAGCATAACTCTTGATTGTAGAGATGAATTCCAGGCATCATTTTACTACATGGCCAAAAGCCATCAGTATGACTGGTGCTTGGTCTGATGATATGTCTGGTGTGAACTGGTTTTCTGTAGTTTCTGAGATGTTTCTATGGGGTTGGCAAATAGGAAAAAGTAATGCTGGCAACCATGCTCTTTTGGGTAACAGCTGAAGATGGAGCATGATAAGGTCATCCAAAAAGTCACTTCAGGCCAATTGCCAGACAATTGAATCCCACTTTAGCAGTCCCTGAAGGAGACTCCTGTCTCTCTACCCACGTGGCACTGACTGTAATTCGGAGCTGCACAAATACAGTAGAGACCCATTCATCTTTCTTGAAGGTGTCAGAGAGGATGTGATGAGCAATGGAGATATTTGTTAAAGTGGTCTACATCTCATGCTCTAAATTTTCTTGGGGTGCAGGCTGTAAATTATTACCCAGTTATCTTAAATTACATTTCATTCAAGCCAGATGAAGGTATCTGCAAATGCAAACATTTATTCTAAATATTTTAAACAGGAAATGTATCATGTGTGGGAAAAATAGATGTGTAGGAAAATAAGACTTTTTTTACTCTGTTTGTGTGACAATCAAATAATTGTGTCTTCTAGATACAGCTCATTTTGTGTTTAATGGCTGCCAAGATTTTAGACCTTTTTCTTCCTCTTGCTTGGTGCATCTTAACTTTACAGCTAGTTTCCCCTTTCCAGTTTTCATAGGTAACTAAATCACTGTAGTTTCTCCCTCTGAAATCACTCCTGTTTTCTTAACCAGGAGATTATCTGACTATTGTATTAATTAAAATAGGAGTAGTGTTCTTCCACAAGTACATAAATAATTCTGGTCTATTAAACCTCCTGTCATCTCTGTTTTACACAAAATTATCTTCCTTTTGGATAATAATTTTTGTAATTTTCAAGTGGGAAGTATATCTTGTTCTTGTGTCCCCTTAACTGTATCAGTCTGGACATTAAAAATGCACACTTGAAATACCGGAACAAACTAATTTTATGTACCTTGAGCAAGATTCAGCATGAGCAAATTATCCACTTGAAGGTGACTTTTTCCCCCAGCATCTTTATCTTAATCACATCATTAAAAGAATAAAGTAGATTATGTTTGACTGGAAACCATATTATACTGGGCAAGTCATTTACTCCTTGACTTAGTCTAAATGTCAGAATTTATTCTTCTGGCTACTGTATCTTCTTAAAGGTATCTCTTGTGTAGTTCACATGTACATACAGCTGAGAACTTAAAAAGTGGAGAGGACTTAATTTGTGATGTAGTATAGAAATAAGAACGGACACCACAAATGAACATGAAAATGCTTTAAAATGGGTGTGCTGTAGGAAGGCAGGCTGTTACTGTTACATTTACAGAAAAGGACAACCTGTGCATGGATCATGTACTTCAAGAGCCTGAACAGTTTGGGAACAAAGTGAGAAAATGATAAAAGTAGTTATTTCAGAAGTGTAAGATGCCAGGGGAGGAAAAAAGGTAATCATGTACTTTTCTCATTGTTGTAGAGTTCAAATAAACCTGGATTTGTATCTGAACAGGCTTGTGATAAAATCTTGTTGAATTTGTTGGGGTGGAACTTGACTGGTGCTTATACATTTCAGTGTCATCCATGGCATCTAGTAATTTTTTAGGAAGGATGCAGCTTCTTATCTTGCCTTCTATGACTTGAGTTTCAACATTGACATTTCAGAATGCTTTTATTTTCAGAGTACATCCAGACCATTATGATGATGGAAGAATCAGTTCAACATGTTGTCATGACAGCCATTCAGGAGGTATGCTGGGATGCCCATAGTGTGTGAAAGTTCAGTCTTTCATTATTTTACAGTAGTATGCTTTTTCCCCACTTAGGAAAAACTTAGTTGAAAGTAAAGAAAATAAGGGGCATAGATTTTGCCTTTTTACAATGAAAAATTATTTTTTTTTCCTTAGAAGAATCTTGCTTTATGTCAAAGAACTCTGGTTGAATGTCCCACTTTTCTTTAAATCTAGAAGACTGAAACTTCTAGATATTTTTGATACTGGATTCCCTTTCCTTTTCTTTTCCCACCCTGTGAATCCTGAAGTGCACTAGATAGATTTTCTGTGGATAACCAGTTACTGCAGAATTTTGTTGAAATTTGTACCTTGAAACAGCGAAATTCCATAAACTGGTTGTCAGTCTTATTTTACAGTAGTATGCTTTTTCCCCACTTAGGAAAAACTTAGTTGAAAGTAAAGAAAATAAGGGGCATAGATTTTGCCTTTTTACAATGAAAAATTATTTTTTTTTCCTTAGAAGAATCTTGCTTTATGTCAAAGAACTCTGGTTGAATGTTCCACTTTTCTTTAAATCTAGAAGACTGAAACTTCTAGATATTTTTGATACTGGATTCCCTTTCCTTTTCTTTTCCCACCCTGTGAATCCTGAAGTGCACTAGATAGATTTTCTGTGGATAACCAGTTACTGCAGAATTTTGTTGAAATTTGTACCTTGAAACAGCGAAATTCCATAAACTGGTTGGTTTTTATTTTTTTAATTTAGTAGACAAGTGAAAAGAAAGATAATTGGGTAACATTATTGTTTTGTCAGCTGTAGTGTCATGAATTGGGTAATGATATGTAAGATGAACATATATAAATAGTACAGTAGGCTGGTATGTTTTTACAAGTCAGTGAGTATACTGCAGTTCATTTTGTAGAAGTGCTCTTCTGTGGTAAATCAAAACTGCGTTGTTAGCCACTGAAGCCCGCCTGTGACTTACAAGAAGTCTGAAGTGCCTATAATAGAAATGCCTAACAGTCTGCAGATGTTTACTGCAGGGCAGGCCGCTAGCTAGAGCAAGTCACTAGCGAGGGAAGGCAAGAAATCACTAGTAATCCTGTTTCCTCTGAACCAGAACAAGAGAAAATTCCACGCTGAGCTTCAGAACAGTTTCTCATCTCTGTAATGTCTGAATAGAGAAAGAAATATCAGTGAGCCTACAAGGGAATCTTTCCACAGTCATCACTTTGACCAGTGCTGTATCCATGCAGTCATACATTCAGTTGTCTGTGTGTGGACTGCTGGCTGTAACACAACAGAAAGGACTTTGGAAATAGTCTAATAAAACTATCCCTTTGGAAGCATCAAAAGAATTGTTGTCTAAATTGTCTTCCAGTTAGTGCTGCCAAGCACCAGTTTGCTGGAGTTTTGGCGTATTTTACTTTTTTGTAAGTTTTGTAACTGTAATATACAGTATTTTGGTGGATTTTTCTAGTGTTTTTTATTAAACCCAAATTGCAGCATCACTGTCTTCTGCACCACCTTGAAATAGAAAAACTGTTTTTATCTTCCTTCTTTGTGATGAAAATCTATTCAATTTTTATAAAAGTCTCCTTTATTTAATAAAATAGCCCAGTGAAGCAGCCCACAGTTTTTAGCAATTAATGGGTAAACTTTGAACTTGTTCAGTGTGTGTGCCCTTTTGCTGGTGTGATGAGTAGAAGTAGGAAGACATCACAGGGTAAAAATATGTTCTTCCGGAACAGCTATTTAAAATTCAGTGAATCAAAAAGCTTAGTATTCAGCTACCGAGAGAGTTCTGAGTGATTTTAATGTACTTTGCAAGCTTAGAAACCAAAGGCATTTGAGGACCAAATGAGGAGGATCTCAAGTGCTAAATGAAGAGGTGAGAAAGTGCCTCAGACTTTGAGGCACTTTGAAAGCAAGGCCTCTCTCCATTATTTTTCAATGGGCTTGGAGTTTGGAGAGGTCCCAGTCAGCTGGAAGCTAGCAAATACTATTGTGGTTTTCAAGGAGAGAAAGAAAGATGCTGTCAGTTATAGGCCTGTCTCACTTCAGTGCCTGGAAAAATTATGGAGAAGGTTACTCTGGGAGTTAGATCATACCCAGCACAGATGGATACAGGAAGAGTTTAAAGGGGTGAAACTTAATGGGATCCTGTAAGGACTTAGGCTCATAGCAACTTGTAGAATTCAAGTGACTTAGAAAAAGCAGTATGTAGGAAATTAGCTATATATGAGTATTTGAAAAGTTGGTATATCACCTAATCCAAAAATTTTAAAGCATTTGACATTGTGGTAGTCTTCAAAATTAGGTGTGTCATAAGACCCCTCTAAGCTTTACCTGATATATTGTATAATTCATTTTTCTGCTTCAGCTGAGCATGTACAAATTTTTTTGATGCTTCTTTGGTTATTGTAAATCATTTTGCTTGTGAAAGTATTTCACAAGGCACAATAGAAAATGTTTTCTCAATTTTTTTTTATATGAAGAAGCTGATTTTTAATGGAATAAGCAGCATTTTATATGCTAAATTTTGTTCAGTTATTTCATTTTTTATTAACCTGTGGTTCTTCATAATTTCTTTTCTTCACTTATTTAAATTTTTAAAATATGTCTTGTGCTCCACAAAGGTTTTATAAATGAAACAGTGGTTTTCTGTTAGTTTTTCAGTATAGTCAGATTGGTCTGGTGTGTTGTCTCCACTTAGAATCTCCATTTAGATTAGTGTCTGCAGATGTAGGTACCAAAATGCAAGTTGTACACAAAACACAAGACTGAATACATTCATATGTGTAATATAACAGGGTCTTTTTATTTAATGATTTTCAGATTTTTTAAAGGCCCAAAGTATTTTTTAGAGAAATTATTTTGCCCATTATATATTTTCTTTTCCCCTTCTGTCATTTTCCCAAGTCTCTTCCTGGAGTAGCCAAGTTCATTGTTGATGAAGATGGTAGCTGAGGTAAACAAATTGTTTGCCTTTGCTGTTTAGAACATCTCTAAACTTGATCACTTAGCAGCTCTCTGTGCAGGTCAAGTTGAGAGTCAGAATAGTGTCAGGAGTAGTGTCAAGACTTGCCGAGAGGGGAATAGGCAAAGGTGCTTACTCTCTGGAGTGACACCAATGGTGTTACTTCAGCTTGTTGGTTTTGTGCTGTTTTTCCCTCTTTTTCCTGATAAAAAAGATTTTTAAAATATTTTTTTAAAGATTTATCTTGTCTTAAGTAAAATTATTTTTTTAATAGTTAGGAAATTATATAAAAGTATTTTATTAGGTCTATCAACAGATAGACTGGAGGTAGACTGGGTATCAACTGGAGGAAGAAGAAAGTCCAGCTGCTTTAAAGGATATACAGTGTCGAATATAGCCATGACTCATAAAAACTAACATAAAGATGTTCTAAGAAAGAAAAAGAACGTGAGTACAGAAGCTAGGTTTTGACATTGTTTTGTGGGCACTTAAGTGAGCTTATGCAGTATTATTAACTGTAGAAAAAACATTTCAGATAAAACAAGTGTTTTGGATTTCAAAATCATCAACTAAATAGAGCAACTGTGTTTGCAAAATCATGTGTGGGGGGAATAAAGCTTTCATAATTCATGTTATTCATGTATGCAGGTTTTGTGATAGTTCTACCCCTTCCCTAATCTTCATGTATCCATGACAACACAGCTTGTTCATATTTTACACTGAAAGCAGTTAAAAAGTGAAGGTTTTAATAATATAGGATTAGCAGACCTACAAGTATTATGTAAGCTATCATACCCCAAAGCTATGAGCATGAAAAAATATAGATATAAAGAATTAACAGGGAATGACAGCTGCTTCTTATAAAACTACACAAATAACTGTAAGAATTGTCATGTTTTCCAGGTAATTGCACCATTTAAAATCCATACTGACCTCTATGCAGACTAAACCAGAAAAAGACCAAGCTTGTAAATGCTAGTTGCTAGTTTATTTCACTCTGGGAAGCTCTTAAGCAGGATTTTCTTTCTCCTGTAGAGGTCTAATGCAATTGCTTGAATTTGCAAGCACATTTTTAATGTTTCCCTTTTTATAATCTCTGCACATTTTTTTATAATCTCTGCACCCTCTGCACACTCCTCCATTAAAGTTACATTTGAAAATAATTTATTATACTATACTTACACTAAATTATGAATTTGGAAATGAAAGCCAGTTCCAGTGCTGCAAAATTGTGGAGGTAAACCTTTATTTTCCTTTGTAGTCTGGTCCTGAAGAAAACCTACATATGTGAAGGGAAAATGAGAAGGACACTTCCTCCTGCTTTTTATTCTCTTGACTGATTTGAAAGGCAAATGAAATAAAGTTTGCCCATCTAAACTCAAAAGTATTACTATTGATCCAGACCTCTCAAGACCACGTTCTCTAGTATCACGCTTGCAGGTTACATGTGAAGCTCTGAAATGACATCAGTTTTTCATGAAGTTTTTCTGACTATGAGCTTTTAAATAAAGGAAATATACAGAAGAAAATGTTATGGAAATTTGCTTTCAAAATTTTTATAAGTATTGTAAGATTAGTAATAAATAATTCAGAAAAAGCTGATGTGCCATTAAACAGGTAACTGATTAAATGAGCCCTTTGCAACTCTAAATTTCAGTAATATCAGAGAATGCTGATTGACCAGAAACAAAGTCAAGAATAGGGAAAACTAGGCAAGCCTCTTATCTTGCGTTCTTCAGGTGGATGGAAGTTTCAGGTAGTGTGTGTTTCAAATTGATATGCCTATCTGTATGAAATCTTAAAACATGGCATTCAGTAAAAGTTTTCTTCTTGAAATTTTAAAAAAATCTGAATGAAGAAAGAGAAGTTTGTATAGGTGAGTGGAGTTGTGTGCTCTCTTGGCTGTTCTATTTATGGTAGAGTTTTTGCTTCGCAGTGGGGAGAAGCTGTGTACAGGCAGTCCTGAAGCAGAGCATGTATAAACCATTTACATATTTACAGTATGTGGGGAGATGTGTAGGGAAAAGATGGAAGCACTCCTTTGCCATGATAATTCTACCTTTGCATCGCACTTCTTACAGTTTTTATTGTTGTCTGATGATCAGAAGTTGGATTCCTGTGTTCCTTTTGAGTTACCTAGCAATCTCATTCTTGTTCTTTGTCTGATTGTGGTACTGGACACAAAACTATCCCTTACATTTCATCTTTAACTTTTCCACTATACATACCCCAGACCATCCAATTGCTTTCTATTGCACGAGTCGTCTGAGATACATCTGTACGTGTATCTGTGGCTTTTGCTCTTGGTGCCTCATTCACATTTCCTCATCACATTCTCAATGTACTCTGTGGAGTGAAATTCACACATGTAGTGTGCATTCATGGTACATCCAGAATATGTATCTCCAGTATCTAATCCTACTCCAGATTATGTCCTATTTTCTGGACATTTCTGCTAATGGTTCTCAAGGACAGGATGTTTTGGGAGAGATGGCAAAACTTGTTGAAGAAAATAGGGATTATATTATTAGCCATGGCCTGCCTTATGGTAAGTCACAGAAAGCAATGACACTACAGTGGCCTCTAGTGGGTTGTGTGGTCACTTGTATTCCTTCTACTCCAAGTCTTGGGTAGGCCTGTTGAGCTAGTTTTTCAAAGAGGAAGTTGTGTTAGGGCCAGAAGTGGGTGGTGGCTGTTAGGGACATGTTGTACACCCTTGCAGGCTGCATGCAGCATGGGACCTGCCTGTTGGAAAGTTTTGACTTAGCAGGCAGAACTTAGTTGCATGTGTGGAGTACGTGTGTCCAAAGTGTGTTTGTGAGCAGCGTTGTGGAATATAAAATACTGATAAGAGTTCAGTATTTGGCTAATATGGGGATATCCCTGTTAGTCATCTGGAAAAGCTGGTGAAATCCAGTATTCAAAGTGTGCGTGAACATCACAGAGCAGGGAGGGGTTGGGAGGTTTTGTTTAAATTATAATCAGCTTAGAAAATAGGGTCCTAAATTGAAGATAAGTTTGTAATGCCTTTATGTATGGTAATGAAAAAGACTTCATTTTTCAGGGGACAGCTCTGAGGCTAGGGACTTCCTAATTATTGTTGCAGAATGTAGGCTTGATGTAATGCTTCTTCATGGAGTAGTTTGTCATTGTAAAGATGTAGAAGAAAATGGAAGAAATTTGGCAAATGTTGTCACTGTGTGAGGAGGACTGCTGAAGGGAGATGGATTATTCTAAATAATGCAGCTAAATCCTAGTTAAGGAAATGGGGAAAGTGAGAGAAATGTGAGTGTATGATTTGAATGATGTAAATGTCAAACAGATTTTTCACTTGTACACAGTGATAATAAACAGGATGGCTCTGTGTATCCCAAAAGACCTTGCTAAGGAGAATAGTGCAAAACCACTGATTTCTAGAAGGAATAAAGGAAGTACTGTCTCTGGAGAGAGTTACCAGACTAGACAGGAGATTCCAGGGAAGAAACTTGTCCTGATTTTGGTTAGGATAGGGTCTTTTTAGTTGTAACTTTCATGAATCGCGTCATTGGAGAAGTCTTAGAACATTATGCATTTGGACAGAAACCATCAGTGCTGTTCTGTAATGATGCCTTTTGAATTAGTTGCAGTGTATTTCTCATTTGCAAGACTGTTCCTCTTTTTGTCTTACAACTTTTCATAAGAACATTATTATGTTTGCCTAAGCTGTGTGGGAGGAGGTTGCTGAGCTACAACTTTTTCTAGGTTTGATTTCACTTTTACCAACTGGTGCAGTGGATCGTTAGGTTATTATAAGAAAACTTACCACTTTTTTCTTTCTTTTGATCAGTACATCAGTCAGTTTTGTGGGATTGATTTTAGGGTTTGTTTTGAGGGTTTGGCTGGGGTTGTTTTTTGTTTTCATTCTCTGCTTTGGTTTTTTAATAATCTAGGCCAAAGCCACTACCAGCTATTCCTGCACTGAAGTAGTACACAAGGAACTGTTATACTCATTTCAGGAATGCACTCTACTGAATTACTTTTTAATGTTGAAAATGACAGACAACTCCAGAACAGAATTTTTGTCACCTTTGTTTTGCACTAGTAGTTGAGATAGTCTTGGAGTTGAGCAAAATAAATAAATAAATTGATGTAAATATCCAGGTAATGGAAATATGAAAAAACCGCTCACTAGCAGAGAAAAATTAAAGCCAAGTCTTGCATGGTGTGTTGATGTCTACTATCATTCCAATGTCACTGCAGTAAAATCTTTAGTGGGATGTTCTGTAGGCTTATCATAGACAAAGAATGTGCATTGTCAAAAGAAAAAGAGATAATAAGGTTTCTTTTATAGCATTCTAAATATTACAAATGATGAAGATTTTTTTCTTGTTCTTGTTTCTGAATATGTCATATATAGAAATGAACTTGAGAACCTTCAAATTAATTCAGATTAAAGCTCTCAAAAGTAAAAATCAGCTTGGTATTTCATTGAAACTTAGGTTTTAATATAAATGTAAATCTTTGCTTTTTCTAATCCAGTGTAATCTAATTGCAGTTGATGAGTAAAGAGTCTCCAGTCTCTGTTGGAAATGATGCTTACGTTGACCTTGATCGGCAGGTATCTAAGACTAGATGTTTCTTTTCTTTAAATCATAGTGCGTCAGTGGCCGTAATAAGAACTCCATCTTTTTTTTTTTTTCTTTAATCATTAAAGGGTGTTGTGGAAAAGTAAAATAAAAAGTAAAGGACTAAATCTCAGTATTTCAAGCCCTTTAGCTTTGCAAATTGAGTTTGCTTCTACTGTGTATTTAAAGGATGTGGAAAAGTTGATTTGAGAAACCAGTCTAGCTGTATGACATAATAGTGCAAAACTGCCAATTGGTACAAATGTTTAGGCATGGAGAAAGAGAGAAAAATAAAAAAGATGTACTATTTGAATAAATGTTTTTATCTGAGTTCCTATTTCCAAAGTCAGTTAAAAAAAAAACAAAAACAACTGCTTCTGTGGGAATCCTGGAATTGCTGCAAAACAGAAGAGAAGTTTTCAAATGCATCATACCCAGTCTGATATATTTAAAAAATATACAAACCAAATTTTTTTTACTAACTTATCCGCATGCTAACACTGTCCTCATTCCTCAGATTATTTTCTAATTGAGAAGAACAGTACAGTGGTGCTCACTGTATTCATCCATTATGCTTTCTCTGCAGAAATATGTAAATTCTTGCAGATAAAATTAATTTATTGTATGCAAACAGGCCCATAAGAAATAAACTAGCAAATGCAAGGTATGATGATGCTCTTTGAGAAAGCTCATTTAAACTTCATAATATATAATAGTACATATATATCTGTATCTATCTATATAACATGCATGAACCTATTTTATCAGACCAGTTTTCTTGTAGCTGTGTTTTCTATGTTATCTTAACTGCATGCATTTGCAAACAAGTGAGACACATATCTTTAAACATTCAGCCTTTGAAGGGAAGTATTGGAATATTTCCCACTGCTTATAAGGTTTGGTGCCCTTTTTTAAAAGGTAGGCTTCTCTGTCACATACTATTTTTATTCCTGTTGTGCACTAGAAGTAGCTTCCAGACACTAGAAGGATTTTACCCTAATTGTCTGTTCCCTGTATTCCACCTTCCAGTCCTTTCTATATTTCAGATGTAGATTGAAAATTGAAATTATGCACTCTTTGCATCTGTAAAGAAAAGTGGTATTGACAGGTTTTTTTGGTGTAGAGATTTGGTGAGTTCTTCAGACTCAATTTCTCCTGAAGTTTTTGACTCAATTTATAGATTAGATGTGAAATTTCTAATGTAAAAGCAAATGTTACTTTAGTTATATTTACTTTTTACTGATACACAAACTAAACAGTATTCACATCTGCTTCTTTTTTTTTTGTTTATATGAACATAATTGCTGAGTTTTAAAAAATATAATGTATTACCTCAATGTAAAAATAATTTTACAGGCTGTAGCTGAGAATATTTTTAAATGGATCATGTAGAGTGATGAAAATGTAAACATTTCTTGTTTATAATAGCTGAAGAAAACTACAGAAGAATTAAATGAAGCACTTGCAACAAAAGAAGAAATTGCTCAGAGATGTCATGAGTTAGATATGCAGGTAAGTTTGCTATAGAGTCTGTATAAATTTTGAAGTGGAGAAAAGTTGTGTGAACTTTCAGGTGGCTGAAAATAAGTACTAGCGTATTGAAACATAATTTTTATAAGGGGAATGAAAATGTCACAGTAATTGTTTTGTTTTCACTTTTGCCAGCAGAATGAATATCATTGTTTTCTTATCTTGTTGCCGTGTTGTCAGTATTATGATTCATACTAGCAAAATTTTTCATTCAGTTAAGAGGTTTGAGCTGTGTGGTAAAACTTTTGCCATAGCGAACTAATAGAAGTTCTGCTGTTGTAACAGTTCCAGCTAATAGTTAAATCCCAGTCAGAAGTTGCTATAGACCATTAAAATGTGTATGAGTTTAGACTAAGTCTTAAGTAAAAGTAAGTCTGTAAGTAAATCGATACTCATCTCCAAGACATGAGGAATGTAAAGGGGGAGCCCTGAACACCATTGCTGTTGCAACCCTACTTCAAAATATTAATTCACGTTTCTTGTAGTTCAGTGACTGTTGGAATTAATAAAGCTGATCTTTGTGTGTTGTGGTTAATATATGAGCCTATGTTTCAGGTCTTGGAGCACTTTGAGTTCTTTCCACTACTGCCTGTTTTCACGTTAGTGGAAAGTGGGCTATCTTCAGGACTGTGTTCCTGTTTCAGGCCTGCTTGCAGATGGCCTTTACTGTGAAGAGCTAGTTTTATTTTTTTCTGTTGAAAGGATGCAGATTTTATTATAATGAAGTTACCTGCCCTCATAACAGACTTTTTCTTTAAGTGTTTGTGTGAAATACTTAAAAGAGTAAGTGTGTTTCCTGAGTTGTAACTCTGCCCCTAATGTTGCAATATGTTGGTTACATGACACGGTAATTGAATACCTATTCAATTATACAGTGTATTCTTGTGAAATGTGATTAGTGAAGCCTGCATGTTTCTGTTTGTTGCATCTGTTGATACTTCATTATGAACGTGAAAAAATACTGCTCTCTGTACCTGGGTAGGTTAATTATTCTTCTTCATACTTGTATTACCACAGGTTGCAGCCCTCCAAGAGGAGAAGAGCAGCCTGCTTGCCGAGAACCAGATTTTGATGGAACGTTTAAATCAATCTGATTCCATTGAAGATCCCAACAGTCCTGCAGGTCGTAGACACCTGCAGCTGCAGACACAACTAGAACAGCTCCAAGAGGAAACATTCAGGTAGAAAAGCTGCACTTGGTTAGGTTGGTTGTTTGTAGCTGGCAATAGAGGTGACTTAGATATTTCTGGTTCTGCTGCAAATGTGAATTAGTATAATGGATGGTGTATAGCCACAGTAGTACAGTTTTTGAAGTGATGTATACATTATAATTTCACTCTTTGCAAGATGCAGCATTTAAAAAAATCACAGTTTCTTAATGCTGAAGTGTTTTATATGTCACTCTGCTGTGAGTTACTTTGAATTGTTTGTGTGCAGTCATTTCACCCGTGTGAAATGCTAATGACGTCAGTGAGAAGGAAAAGTAGCATGCTTTCCTTTATGCAAATTATTCTGATTGTATTTTTAAGGCCTAGTAATTCCTAGATGAAAGTTATCTACAGGCTGGAGGCATTATCAACGTAGGAAAATATGTCCTTACCTGAAATTTGGATTTGAAAACATTTCAGAGATGATGAAAGATAGAGATTATCCATCTATGAGTTCTGCACTTTATTTACATTTCCCCCATAAGTGAAAATACAGTTCCTTTTTAAACATCCTTTCTGGTCCTCTTGACTGTTGCTTTCAGGCTGTGTAAGCCTGTTCTGCTGAAGAAAGCTGGTTCACTTCACCATAACCTTTTCATTCTCTTTCCCTTACTTTCCTTCACTTTGTGAGTGAAATTATAGTATTTCTTTCTTTACACTGCCAGCTTTTCTTTTGGTATCTTCTTCTCATTGCCTTTTTCCAATTCTTACAATATATGCCATGTTACTTTCCTTTTTTTTTTTGTGTTTTGCCTTTTTTCCAATTCCTCTTGCTAAGCCTTTCCTGCTTATTCTGACATATCATCTCCCATCAGTTCCTTGAAAAACATTCCATGTTTCTCTTTCACAACAACTAGTACCTGGATTTTTTTCTTTTTATACATCTACCATGTAAAGGAATAAAGCAATGGTGATGTCCCTTTTTATCTCTTCTGATTCATCTCCATACTCTGCAGTGATTCCTGCCTGAGTCTGGTATCGATTACTGTTCAAACAGATTTTGTCCCATATTCAATATCTGCACTGTCTGTTACTGTAGTTTCAGGTTCTGAAGGTCATTGTAAACTGTTTTCGTATGTGAGACTCATTCCCGGCCTCCTTTACCTCCTTCCCCTGTTTTCATATTATGTGGTTTCTGGTGGCAATTTGTATGTGTTGCTTCCAGCTCTACCTCATCAAGCAGGACATTTGTATAGCTTAAGTGGTGCCTTGTGTGGTACACCACTCTTCCCCCTAGTCTTGCCTCTTTGTGCTTTGACTGTTCTGGTCTGTCATGATCCAGATCTTTGTTGTTTCTTGTGTGGATGACTCAAAGATTTTCTCTTGTCTCTGTTCTTGTAGATTGTTTTTGGACTCTTTGACTTTTTTTCCCCTCATGTCCTTATATCCTTGATTATTTTTGTTTTAATTTCAGAGCAAAGTCACAGTAGGACTTTCTGGTTTGTGTTGTCCTATTCATTCAAAATACATTGAAAATTTTCTATTACTTACTCCCTTTGTTCACTGCCAGGTTAATAGAGCTTTGACTATGCATAGTGTATGCAAGCAGTTCAGCATCTTTAGTCAGAGTTCTTTACTTGTTAACTAGACAGCCTGGTTCTCCCAATGTACTGGGCATGCACAGGTTCTTTATGAGTAAATAAATAAAGCCACTTCAGTGACAGGTCTACGGCATTTATAACATCTTACAATCAGGTCAGTGTTGTTGAAGGTAGATGAGTTGTACAGCTGAACAGAATAGAATAAAGATGTCACATTCAAACTGTGGATGTCCGATGAAAATTCTCCTTAAGCTTCCCTTGTGTTAAACTACTGTTACAGAAGGAAATCTCAGGTTTTGTTTTTACAGGAACATATGTTACCTTGTGAATTTTCAAATAGAAAGACTGATATTAAATTTGGAGCATTGATAAAGTCAATCTGCTTTTACATTTTGAATAAGCACATTGTGTTGTTGTTTTCCTTCACTGCAGCAGGAGGCTATTTTGTGAGTTCTTAGAGGGGATGATGAGGAAAGGAACTGTGGCTCAGGATGAGAAATTATTTCTTGGGGTTCTTTTCATTCTTACAGATTAGAAGCTGCAAAAGATGACTATCGAATACGCTGTGAAGAACTAGAAAAGGAAATTGCGGAATTGAGACAACAAACAGAAGAGCTTACTACACTGGCAGAGGAGGCTCAGTCTTTGAAGGACGAGATAGATGTACTCAGGTAAATTTTGTTCCATTAACTCTTTATTAACTACTACCTTTTAATCTGTATAATTTGTATACTTGATCTACGTTATCTTTTGTTTAAGTGATTTAATATTAAACACTTTCAATGCCAAGATTCCTTGGATCCTCCAGTTTAGGTACACAGATGGACACACAATTCAGCTTGAGTAAAATAGTTGCTTGTTTTGTACCTAATCAATAACTACTAGTAAACTTACCATTCTATGCTAATTCATGATTATAACAGGGCACCCACTGGTCTCTTTGAGTATGCAGTATTCACCTTCATCATGCCTCAGGCATCTGTTCTCATCAGAAAACTAGGCTGTTTCCTTTCCTGGGTTTGCATTGTTTGGACTTTGGGTGGTGCTTTTGGCTTATCATGTAATATTGGTGTGAACAACATCTGTTGCAGCTCTTGTTCCGACTGGATTTTAGCAATGAAAATTGTCATGATTTGATGATAATAGGGGTTTATAGAGTGGGACAGCTACTTTTATTATGGAGCTTATTCCTTCAGTATTGGCATCTATTGCCATGGGTTATTCAGAGCAGTTACACATTCTCTCCAGCAAGACTTATTTAATACTGCTTTTTCTGATTCACCATCAGCCTTCTACCAAAGCTGTCTGTCTTTATCCCTTCTGTTGTTAATATAAGGAACGAACCCATCAGGCTGCATAAACTGTGTGGGTGGCATGGGTTCAAATAGCAATTCCTTGTCCCAAGAGAGAGGCCCTGCACCTCACTGAGGATTATACTAGCTAGCTTGCCATAAACCGATGCATTAATTCAGTGGGAGATTCCCTGGATTTCACAGGAAATTTGGTCTGTAAATTGGTTGATTCTAAGATGAAACTGGGAACAGTAATAGTAGTAAAGGTCTTTGGGCGAGGCAAGTTCCATTGTAATCTTGGGAGTGCAGCAGGTGGATTGGTAAAACTCTGAAAAGCTGAAGCCTGGTGTTTCTTTTTCTTTTGTCCTTTATTTTTTTTAGAAGGAATCAAGTTTCAAAACTGTTAAGGTTCTTCTGTCACCAAGTACAAATGTCTAGTAGAGAGATCTTTATGATTTTAGTCCTGGTTATCATTAAAACGAACTGAATGGCAGAAACTTTTCTTCTTTACTCTTGAAAATTTAGGACAGAAGATAATTGGAATTGAAAGGAAATGAGTGGGAGTGAGGTTGTTTTAGCTATTATTTTAAAGTTGGAAGCAGATAAGAAGGTTGTGTTAGGAAGAGGGACAGGGTCTAAAAGAAACTTCAGCAGCAGCTCTTAGAGTTTACAAATAGTTATGGGAAGAAAACAGACAAAAGTGAAAACATCAGTAGTAGGAGGATATGATTGCTTTATTGTTCCTCCCATTAATGTCTTCTACATTAAGAAAAAACTGTAAAGAAGCATTTTAAATTCTGTTAATTCATTTTTGGCGTTCAAATTTGATACAAATTGTCCCTTCAGGCATTCTTCTGATAAAGTAGCCAAGTTAGAAAGCCAAGTAGAGTCATACAAAAAGAAACTGGAGGACCTGGGTGATTTGCGGCGGCAAGTGAAGCTTTTAGAAGAGAAGAATACAATGTACATGCAAAATACCGTGAGCCTGGAGGAAGAACTAAGGAAGGCCAACGCAGCACGCAGTCAGCTGGAAACATACAAGAGACAGGTGAGGACAGGCATCATCAGTGCTGTAGTACTCTCTGTTGTTCAGCACTTTGTCTTCATAACATGGCTAATACCTCAAAGTGAAAAAAAAAAGCTATGAAAAAAACCAATTCCTGTTTAGAAGACTTACATGTTTTATAGGTACTTGGTACCTTTGTCCTTCTTTTCTGCAGCTCTTGTCATTACTAAATTTTGTTACTTTGTCAAAAAGCAGTATTTCTTGAATTTAAAAACTCACCAGATGTGAAGTTGGGGTTTTTTTCCCTAAAATTATTCCAAATTCATATTCAGTAGTGGGGCTTGAATTAGAGACTGTTCTTTCAGAAAAAGTATCCACTTCTCACTTACAATTTTCCAGCAATGAGGAACACACCACAGCTAAGGTAAGTCGTTCCTGTGGTTAAATAACTCCTTTTTTAAAGGTTCTTGCTTCTCTGATACATCTGAATTTTTCACTTAAGACAGGAGGACACATGTTATCCTTATTGTTCATGTGCACTAGTGGAATACAAAATGTGTCAGCAGCACACTCGGTGGAGTGAAAGGCACCTATTTATCCTCCTGATTATCCAAGTGCCATGTGATGCTGTTTCTGTGCAGCATATGCTTAATCGTGTTTCTGCTTCTGTACTTCAGGGACACTGTATCATTCTGGTATTCTTGTTACAGGGCTAGACAGAGCATGGTTTATTAAAGCAGTAGTGCCTGCTCTGTATTTCTGACTGATCGAACAGTCACAGCACAGGGGTCCCTGTTATGTCAGTTTACCATAGAATAAAGTATAGAAACTAGCACTAAACAATACTGAAAGCCCAGGAGCAATGTGTCTCCCTAAGATTTGACAGATTTTTTTTCCCTGCGCTTGACGATATCAGTGTTTAAAACAAATTATTTCAGCCTATGTGAGCTAATTTTAAATACAGCCCAAGTGATTTTACCGGAAAAAAAAGAACTTGGACAAGAAAAATTGTCCAAGGGGGCAAAGAGAAATGTAAATGTAGAAAGGAATGGCCTTCCACACATGAGTAGTATCAAGTTTACTGGCAACCCAATATTTCACTCCGTTACACAGCTGAGCATGTGATATAGTTGTGTAACCTCAATGTCTGCATTTGATTATTCTTATTTCACCAGCCAAAAGGATTTCGTAAGGGTCAATCCCATCAGTTGTGCTGCTGAAGTACTCCTTTCCTTCAGTGTATTTTATGCGTAGGGTTTCCTGTATGAGGAGCTGTTGTGTGGTGCAAAACTGTTTACTGACTGAGACTGGAATAAGCCTCAGGTGTCCTGTGGCAGATGTGTTTTTATTCACCTAACTACGATGTCTCAAAATGAACACTCTGTGTTTGTCTTCAGTGTCTGTAAGACTGGGCTCCTTTTGAAACCTGCCTGTGACTCATAAATCAGAAAATTATTTTTCTGGGAATCCTGAATTGTGCTATCAGAAGTAAGCTGGATATAAGGCCTATGATGTTATGTCACTGCTGAGTTCTAGTGTGCTCCTGTAATGGGATATGTCTTGTCTGGTGTTTGAAAGATCCAACCTGACTCATGAGGACACCATTAGAGAGTTATTTCTTTGGCTTAGAATCATTGTGCATTGCAGATCAACATGGTTCATTCAAATTTCTATAGTAATCTGCAAGGAAATTGCATCTTCACTGCATAGAGCAATCTCTGTGAGGTGGGGTTGAGTGGTATTCTTTTGTTTTCACTCTTCTGAGAGCAAGCACAAGCCTTTTCTAAGAAACTTTATTTTGGCATAAAGAATTGAAATGTAAAGACTGCAGGATTTTTTTTTTTAGTTTTAATTCAGCCCCTTTGTGCATGTGCCTTCCGATGCATAGTTAACAGTATGTCTTGCTTTTATTTGTTGCAAGATTCCTGCTTTACTCATTCCACATACAGACAATGCTTAGTGAATGTGATAGCAGTTCTTTTTTTTTTTTGTCTTCTGCATTATCATGAAACTGTATGTTTTTATGTACACTCACAAATCCTAATTCAAGACAAATTTATTTTCTGCAGTGTTTTTCTACATACCATAACCTTAGCGTGATTGGTTACAAACATAGATGCATTTGTTTCCATTTGAGGTGAAAATACTAGTATTCTGCAAGTTGTGGCACTGTCACTGGTGAAGGCCTGCAGTTGTTTGTTATACCTGCAGTTATTTTGATAGCCTTAGTGATCAATGTCACATCTGAAAAATGAAATATTTTCATATCTGACATGTTCATTTCTTTTAATCTCAGAAAACACAGGCCTGTACTGGTTTTGCAGCCTTTAATTTAGGAACAACAGCAGCAAAGTCCTCTAAGACTTAGGACCATGCATATTTTAGGCCTTGTAGTTATTTTGCTATAGTTGTACACATTGAAAATAAAAGGCCATTAGAACCACTGGGGAATCTTGATGTAGATGTGGCTATTGCTTTAATAATTTCCTTTGTAATCTAAAAGCCATGAAAACGCCTTCTTATAAACTATTTTGGAAGAAGCTGTAGGTCTTTAGCTGAGTCTTCATTCAGCTTTTGTTTTTGCAGGTCAGTTTTTATTTAGCTTATATGCTCTCATGCTCTCTGCATTATGAGCTTTACTAGTGTTCAGGGAATGAATCTTTGCTAGTAAAGGCTGAAAGTTTTGAAAAGGGAAGACTTCACTGATTTACCTTCTGTTGTGCTCAGCTTTCACACTTCTGCTCACTTAATTTTAAGAGTTCTTTACTGATCTGTAGTTGAAAGCACACATGTGGCGGTGTTTCTCACTGAAATAAAAAAGAATTGTTTGGAGCCTGTAGCTGAATCTGTGTTAGTTTATTAAAAATTATTAGGACATCTCAGGGAATGTTACCTGGCTGTATAAACTAGTAGCTGAATTCTGAGTAAGGCTTGTGAAGTAAAGTTAACAAAAGACTGGCTTTCCTAGGAGTCTTTTCTTTTTATTAGACTTTTCACAATGCAGAAAGATTCTTCTGCTGTTCCTAATCTTTTTGTTCCCTAGAACTACATGGATTTTTTTCTGCAAACCTTTCTTGAGTTTAAATTCTTGTTTTAGATGTAGTGAAAATCACATTCTTTCTATCTTTTGCTTGCACTAAGATACAGTATTTGAATGCTTTTTATTTTGATGAAACACAGAACAATTGATTAAAGAAATTTTTAGTATGTCCTATAAGTAACAATTTCACTTGTTTTACAACATGACTTGTGGTGCATTGTAATTGGCTACTTTGTCTTGTGTATTTTGTTTTAACATTTGCAGACACATTATTGATTCTTGTTCTCACAGGCAGTTGAACTACAAAACAGGTTATCTGAAGAATCCAAGAAAGCTGATAAATTAGATTATGAATGCAAACGACTGAAAGAAAAAGTAGACAGCCTCCAAAAAGAAAAAGATGTAAGTGCCAAGGTGTTATTTTTTTGTTAGTAACAATAGCAGCTTTGTATCATTTATAACACAGAGTTGTGGTAATTATAGTTAGTCGTCTTTTTAAATAAGGAAGTCTTTTTCCTTGAAAATTTTCTAATGTTTGTGTACAAGATAGTTTTTAAACCTAAGAATTGTACAGCATGGAATAAAGTGACTGTACAAAATCACATGCAAACCATTTTTAAGAGGAAAAGCCTTCATATTTGGCATCTGAAGTTCTTTCCTGGTCATTTACCATGAGAAAGTTAATAACTACCCAGGGTAATTATTATGTATTCTGAAAATTTACAGAATATTTATTTGCAACAGGGTTTCTGCAGTATCATCCTGGAACTAAATTCCTGTTGCTTTTCCCCCCTATGACATTCTTTGGGTTATCATCAGCACGCTTCTCTTTGTGGAGTGATCACTAGTGTAGGAAGAGTCTTAGTAGTTGTGTAGAGGGAAATGTCCTTTGTGGCAATCTCACCTTTTATGACAGCTCCTTGTTGACCTATCTTGTACTGCCTATGTGGAACACACAGGGTAGATACGAATTTATCCCCCTCATCTTGTGTCATTTGCTGCTAGTGATTCTGTGATTAATTGCTTTGTACTCTCTTGCTGAGACTGGACCTTCCAACTTCTCTTACACGCTGTCGTTTCTCAATGGTTGATTTCAGCTTGTTTCTTATGAATGTATATGCAGTTGGTTCAAACTACCTAAAATCAATGTCAGCAATTGCAGCTAGCAGTTTCTTAGGCATGTTTTAATTAAAAGTCTATTGATCCAACTATCAAAAACTCTGCAGGCTTTTTCTCAATAGTCATATTTCATGTCCAGTTATTTCCAGATTTCCAAGCCCAGCACTTAAATATAATTTGAACTGAAAGTTTTCAGTTACTTTATGTTCATAGGCCATTGATTCCCATTTTTTATTAAATTTTCAAGCTCTGATAGACACTTGACCTTCACATCACTTCCATCTGCCTTCAAATCAGGTTGGAATGCACATAATAGCTGTGTTGGTATTGTGCTTTGGCTTTCTTTCCTGCTTTTTATTTTTAAATTATTTTTTTTTAATTATTTTATGTTGAACAATGGTGAAGTTGTTTCAGTGGCTTATCCATGGCTCAGCGGCCCATTTCATCTTGCACAAAGGATCTGAATTGCAGGCCATTTTTATGTAGTTCTATTATTTACCCTATGGCAAATAGCTTTTTTTTTTTTGAGCTAGATGTTGTTCTTAAGTGCATTCTTTTGAATGGATATGCACCTGTGAGAAGCAAATTACAGGTAAAATCCCTCATCCTGAGAATTTAGTGATTCAGTGTATCACCTACTCTTTCTGTTCTCTGTTGTCAATATGTATCAGTAAAGTAGCCCACCACAGGTTACAAACTAGGTAGTGGTATCTTGTCAGCTGTATTTTGGAAATAGTTACTGAAATTGCTTATATTGTTTTCATTATGTTCTGGTAAAGCATGGTAGTGTTTGCTATCTTCATCAAAGTAGCTTGGAATTTTACCTCTGTGTTATAAGTACTGTGATAATTATTGAGCTGCTTGTACCAGTGAAGCCCTAGAGCTTTTTCTGTTCACTAAAATATTCTGGCATTTGGCAATCAACTGTTAGTAAAATGAAATGCTGTCAGCCAACACAACTCCATGCCTATACCGAGGCAAGGTCTATCTTGGACCATTTAGTAATACTGAACATGTCTGATTTTGGAGCAAACTGCAATTTGGATCATTACATCCAAATACATAGCAAACTCTTTCCTCTTTTTGACTCTTGGCAACCTTCTGGACAAAAAAACTTGGTGTTACCTGTTGATTCTCATTTTTTTGCCAGAAGGGTAGTTGTGCCAAATTGAAGGACTATTTACCTGATGCTACTGAATAGCACATCTGTCTGGATCCCAAAGTGATCCAGTCCTGTTCTTCAGTGCTCTTTGGACTAAGTCTTAAGCAACGAGTTTTCTTTCATAGCCAAGACACTGGTGAATGACAAGGACAGCTGACACACAGAAGGCATGTGATATGGAAATGTGGTCTCTCAACTGTCTTCCATTTCCCTTGGAATCAACCCTAATGAAAGGAAAACAGCTGAGTGGCCCTGTGTATACTATTTACTACCTGGTAGCAGAACGTTATACTTGGTCACTAATGTCTTGATTTTGTAAGCTTATACCCCTGCTATTTTTAGTCCAATCAGATCAGCAACCCTTTTCTGAAAAAAAAAACAAAAAACAAAACCAAACCCAAACCACTGTTCCTGTGGAATATATAATACTTACATTTATTCTGTTATGGAATAGGCTGATACCTTAATTTGAAAGTAATTTCTAGAGTTACATTAAATAATTTTAAAAATTTTGAAGGCTGTTAGAGATGGATTTAGACTGCCAAGACTGATATTCATTCTCTTTCCAATTATTCAGAGATTAAGAACAGAAAGGGATTCTTTGAAAGAAACTATTGAAGAACTTAGATGTGTACAAGCTCAGGAGGGTCAACTCTCCACTACAGGTAAAGGACAAATAAGGAGATTAAATGCCTCTTTTCTAAAGTGTACACGAGTTTTCTGTAGAGTGTTGAATGTGCTTTTGTTTAGCACAGAATAAATTTAATCTCTTCTAAAATCAGCAGTGGAAAACTTAACAAAAAACAAAACCAAAACCCAAACAACTGTTCCTGTGGAATATATAATACTTACATTTATTCTGTTATGGAATAGACTGATACCTTAATTTGAAAGTAATTTCTAGAGTTACATTAAATAATTTTAAAAATTTTGAAGGCTGTTAGAGATGGATTTAGACTGCCAAGACTGATATTCATTCTCTTTCCAATTATTCAGAGATTAAGAACAGAAAGGGATTCTTTGAAAGAAACTATTGAAGAACTTAGATGTGTACAAGCTCAGGAGGGTCAACTCTCCACTACAGGTAAAGGACAAATAAGGAGATTAAATGCCTCTTTTCTAAAGTGTACACGAGTTTTCTGTAGAGTGTTGAATGTGCTTTTGTTTAGCACAGAATAAATTTAATCTCTTCTAAAATCAGCAGTGGAAAACTTCAGCTATTCATAGCGTCATAAGCAGGCAAAAGCTTAGAATGTTATTTGACTCAATCATAAATTTTAGTCTCCTCTCCAGTGGGATATTTTTGTAATGTGTATCTGATTTCTATATAGTTACATAGTTTTCTTTAGAGACATTTTCTCTTGCTGTTTCCTGTGTTATAGTTCATTTGTATGTGTAATCTTGTGTACTTTGTAGTTCTTAGATAAGATAATGAGCAGGAAATAAACTGCAACATTATTTCTTCAGAATGCATTGAATCAGACGTAATGGACCAAATGAAAGAAAGACCAAATGAAATGGTGTTTGTCTGTCAGTCTTGCTGTAGCCTGACTTTGTGTCGTTTTACATTGTCTAGCAGTAGTGTGAAGCTTCTAGAACAATGTCTACTTCTTGTCATGTGAAAAAGTCAGTGGTATGCTTTTCCTTACTCAGGATTGATGCCTCTGGGAAGACAAGAGCCTTCAGACAGTTTAGCAGCAGAAATCATTACTCCCGAAATAAAGTAAGCTAATGCATGCTTTGTTTTACTAACCTCTACAATGATCAATGGCAAGTTGAACATTAGTTGGCAGTGCCCTGGCAGCCAGGAGGCCCAACTGTGTCCTTGGGGGGCACCAGCCATGCAAAGGAGGGGATTGTCCTGCTCTGCTCTGCACTGGGGCAGAATCCTGTGTGCAGTTTTGGGTGCCACAAAATGAGAAAGACATAAAGCTCTTAGCATCCTAAGGAGGGCCACAAACATGGTGAAGAGCCTTGAGGGGAAGCTCTGTGATAAGTAGCTGAGGTCCCTTGATCTGTTCAGCCTGGAGAGGAGACTGAGCAGAGATTTTATCCTTCCTCATGGGACAAAGAGGAGGGGCAAACACTCATCCCTTCTCTGTTGTGACCAGTGTCAGGGCCAAGGGAATGGTCTGAATTTGTGTCAGGAAGGTTTGTCTTGGATATTAGAAAAAGGTACTTGTTGCCCTGTTCTGATTGCCTGTAGCTTGATGATGGTACCAAAAGAATTGAGTATTTATGAGTAATAATTAAGGGGAAGGTCACAAGGCAGATATTCTGGTGGGTGTGTTATAGATCCCTTCTCTGGGATATTATGCTATAAGGGGCTGGGAGATATCTTGAGATTGCTGGCCCTTCTTCTTATGGAGGACTTCAACTTACCAGATGGCTGCTGCAAATGCAGCACAGCAGAAAGGGATCAGTCTATCTTCTTCAACTGTGCAGAAGATAACTTTCTAACATAGCTGCTGAGCAAGCCAACTAGGGAAGATGTGGACTCTCTGTTTGTAAGCAGGAAAGATAGATGGTGTGATGATCAGAAGCCATTTTGGGCACAGCAACCACTCAGTGAGAGAGTTTTTGGTTAACAGAATTAAGGAGAGAGGCCAGCAGAACCTCCACTTTGGACTTCTGTAGGGCAGACTTTGACCCGTTTACAGGCCTGGTTGACAGAGTTGCTTGGAAGTCAGTCCTGAAGGGCAAAGGAGTCTGGGAGGACAAGAAGGAAGTGTTAAGGTGAAGGAGCAGTCTGTCTCCGTGTGCCAGATGGTGAGATCAGGAAGAGTGGCTTGGCTGCACAGCGAGCTTTGGTCAGAACTCAGGATAAAAAAGATTGTGTTGTGTTTGGAAGAAGGGGCAAAGCCATGGGGAGGACTACAGAGATGTTGTGCTGTTAATGCAGGGAGAAAATTAAATGGGCCAAATCCCAACTGGATCTTAATCTGGCTACTGCCAATAAAAGACAATAAAAAATGTTTCTATAAATACATTCACAATTAAATGAGGGTTAAGGAGAATCTCAACCCCTTATTGATTGCAAGGAGAACCATACCAGTAAAGGATAAGGAGAAGGGTGATCTACTCAAAGCTTTCATTGACACAATCTTTGATAGTAACGCCTCTGATCTGGAAGACAGATGCAAGAAGCTGAATCAAGTCACTGCAATACAGGAGGAAACAATTATGCTATGCCTGCTTACAGCAATGCTACCTGCTGTGCCACTTGGACACCCCCAAGTTCATGGGGGTGGGTGGGATCCACTGAAGGTACTGAGGGAGTAGCTGCAGATAGGTGTTGCAAAATTCACTCTGAAACAGTTTTGGATTGTGAAATAGAGTATCTCTACTTGCAACTGTAGCAAGTAGTAGCCAGAAAGAATGAAAAGTCAAGCTGAGTGGGCGGAGAGTGGGTGACTCTACCTGAATGCTTCAGCTTTTTTTAAGGAGTCTGGGACAACCCCCCAGCCCCTGCCCCACCATTCTGTTTTCTAGCTGCAGGAAGAGAGTAGCAATTTTGGGCACAGATAGATATGGAATACAATAACATTCTGGGTTACTCAGGACAGTGTTTCTCTGCTGGAGGGTCGAAAGGCTCTGCAGAGGAATCTGAACAGGTTGTATCAGTGGACAGAGGACAATGTATGAAGTTCAGCTTGGCCAAGGTCCTGCCCTTATATCATGACAACCTGTACAGTGCTGCAGGCTTGGAGAAGAGTGGATGAAAAGATGCACATTGGGAAGTAATTGTAGAGTCATAGAACAGCTTGAGTTGGAAGGGACCTCAAAGATTATCTTGTTCCATCTACTGTGCCATGGGCAAGAACACCTTCCAGTAGATCAGGTTGCTCAAATCTCCATCCAGCCTAGCCTGGAATACTGCCAAGTATGGGGCATTCAGAACTCCCTTTGCCATTGCCTCCAGACCCTCAAAGGAAAGAATTTCTGTTTCATGTCTAATCTAAACCACCCCTTTTCAGTTTAACAGTACGCTCCTTTGTCTTGTCTCTCCACACTCTTGTAAAAAATCTCTTTCCAGTTCTGTTGTTGGCTCCTTTCAGGCACTGTAAAGCTGCTCTAAGGTATCCCTGGAGTCTGATCTATAACCCCAACCCCAGCTCTCTCGGCCTGCTTTTAATAGAGGTGCTCCATCTCTGTGATCACCTTAGCAGCTTCGTCTGGACTCTCTTGAATTAGTTGACATACTTCCTGTGCTGGGACCCCAGAGCTGGGTGCAGGGTTCCAGGTGGGCTCTCAGCAGAGCAGAACAGAGGGGCAGAATCCCCTCCCTCCCCTGCTGCCCACGCTGCTTTGGATGCAGCCCAGGACACGTTTGGCTTTCTGGGCTGGGAGTGCCCATGGCTGGGTCATGTCCAGCCTCTCACCTACCAACACCCCAAGTCCTTCTCACAGGGCTGCTCTCCATCTGCTCATCCTGCAGCCTGGACTGGTACCAGGGGTTGCCATAGGCCAAGGGCAGGACCTTACACTTGGGCCTGGTTGAACCTCATGAGATTTTCATGGCCCAACTTCTTCAGTTTGTCCAAGTCCCTGTGGATGGCGCCTGTTGTTCTGGTGTGGATTTGATGGTGTTGGTTGACAGCAGCTGAACTTGAACCATTGAGTGCCCAGATGGTCAAGAAGGCAAATTACATCCTGGCCTGTATCAGCAAATAGAATGGCCAGCAGGACCAGGGCAGTGGCAATTACAGGATTGTAATCAAATCCTGTGTCTAGTTTTGCACCCTTTCACTACAAGAAGGACATTGAGGGGGTGGAGTGTGTCCGGAGAAGGACAGTAGAGCTAGAGAAGGGTGTAGAGAGTTAAGTCCTTTGAGGAGCAGGAGGTTGTTTATCCTGGAGAAAAGCTCACCCCTGAGCCTCCTGTCATTCTCTACAGCTACCGTAAAAGAGGTTGTAATGAGGTGAGGGTTGGTCTTTTTTCCTGAAGTTGTGCTGGAGAGGTTTAGATTGGATATTAGGAATAATTTCTTCACCAGGAGGGGTTATCAAGCATTGAACCCAGGGAAGTGATTCATCCCTTGTGGTATTTAAAAGATGTGGTGCTTAGGGACATGCTTCTGTGGTAGACTTGGCAGTGCTGGGTTTATGTTGGATCTTGATGATCTTAGGAGTATTTTCAACCCAAATGGTTCTGTGATTCTGTGTAAAAAGACTAAAGGTTGAAATTACTTGCTCAGATTTATGCAGTAGTTCAGTGGCAGCTGAGATTACAGTCTTTGTTCACACTTGGTATTAAATTTTGCATTCTCTATTCTCCCTGTATATTTGTTGAGCTGTACTCTGAGGTCTGTTGGGGGCACTGAGGTACTTTCCTTGTGTTCTGTGTTCTGCAATTAGAACTTAAATTTGGTTTGTATTTGGGGGTTTGAAGATATGATTGTTGTTTCAGCATCTGCCTTAAAAAGATATTTATGTTGTTATTTTACTTCCAATGGTAAACTGTTTTCTTTGTTATAGATATTGGTTGGTTTTTTGTTTGTTTTTTTTACAAAATTGTGTTGAACGTGTTTAGGGAGAAACTCATCCGCCTTCAGCATGAGAACAAGATGTTAAAATTGAACCAAGAAGGTTCTGACAATGAGAAGATTGCCTTGTTGCAGAGCCTTCTTGATGATGCAAACTTACGGAAGAATGAACTGGAGACAGAAAACAGGTAAAAAATGTTGTCCTTTGCTTCAGTTGACCTTCCTACAGGGATCCCCAGGAGAAGAAAGACATGGATTTCATGGAATCAGTCCTGTGAAAGGCCATAAGGATGTGATTATAGGACTATGGAGTCCTCTGCATGAACAAAGTCTGAGGGATAGAGACTATATAGCCTGGAAAAGAGAAGGCTTAGGTTAGATCTTATCAGTGTATCTTATCGAAGTGTATGATGGGAGGGTCTAAAGAAGGTGGAGATAGACTCTTGTCAGTAATACTCAGTAACATGGCAAGAGGGTGTGGCAGAGTTTAAAATACATTATATTTCATCTGAATGTGAAATATACGGGGTGTTTTTGCTGTGAGGGTTGCTGAACACTGGAGTATGTTGCCCAGAGAGGTTGTCTCCATCCTTGTAGATATTTAAAACTCAACAGGACATGTTCCTATGGCAGCCTTCTAGCTGACCCTGCTGGATTGAACCAATCAGCATGCAGACGTCTGTGAGACCAGACAAAGTGCATCAGAACATGCCACAGTATTTGGCTGATAGTGATGTAGGCTGCTTTGTATCTGAGCTTTGAATCTGTTATTTATCTAATCTTCCCCTGTCTTCCCCTTTGACTGGGGGAGGTGCCTGAAGCTTGAGAAAAGGTAAACACTGCATTCAGCTTCAAGAAGGGCAATAAAAAGAGTATGAGGAACTATTGAGATTGGTCAGCCACAGCTCACTTTCTGGAAATTTCACAAAGCAAGTCCATCTGGAATCTATTTCCAGCTACATGAGGGACAGGAAAGTAATTAGCAAATGTCAATGTTAATTTATTCAGAGTAAATCATGCCTAACTAATCCAGTTCTCTTGACAAAGAGATGACTGCACATGTGAAGAAGGGTGAGAGGATAATACTTAGCTTCAGCAAAGCCTTTGATAAAGTGTCCCATGGTATCCTTATGTTCAGAATTCCTGGATATAAACTAAATAAGTGGACAGTTAAGTGAGCAAAGAAAAAATTGACTGGACAGTGAGACTAAAGTAGTAGTATTGTCAGTGAAATTAAACCCAGCTGGCAACTGGTTCCTCAGTCATCAGTACAAGTATCAGCACTGTTTATCACTTTTATTAACAACTTCACTGATGAAAGGGGCTACGCTCTTAGCAAGTTTGAGAATGATAGCACTTTGGGATGTCCTGAAAAGGAGAACTGTTATTCAGAGGAGCTCAACAATCCAAAGAAATGATGAGACCCCTGTCCCTGGCTGTGGAGCAGCTCTGCTGCAAAAGCCCTGGGGTCCTAGTGGGTGGCAAAGGAGGATGTGTTATCTGGGGACCTTGGAGTTGACTGTGATCTGGACAGTCCTCACTGAGGTGCAGGCTGTCAATCTGCAAAAAATTATTCTTCACCTCTCATCAGTACTTATGATATCACATCTGGACAGAGCATGTAATTTTGGATTCCACAGTACCAGAGAGATGTGGATGTATAGAAGTGCAGCAGAATGCTGCTAAGGTGGTAGATACTGTGATGTGTGATAGATGGGATAAAACTAAGAATTGTGTTTGTCCAGGCCAAAGGAAAGGTGACATAGAGGAGAGTACTGTCAGCTGCATCTGCCTGATGGGAAGGTAGAAAGAAGACAGATTTGAGCTATTCTCAAGAGATACTCTCAAGAGTGGGAGGACAATAGGCAAGAGACAAAATATGGAGTATGGGTCCAAGCTCTAAAAGGGAAGCCCAGAGAGACTGTTGGGCCTCTGTCCTTACAAGTGCTTGAATCTGGTATTGGATATGATTCCCAGCAATCTGCTGTAAATGCACCTGCTTTAAGGAGGAGGTTTGATCTAGGCAACCTGTGGACATCCTTCTAACCTGCAGGTTTATGGGGTTCTGTAAAGGTGTAGAAGCAGAAGCTAGCAGCTCTCACGCAGTAAAACTGACTGTTAAAAGGTCTTCTTTCATATATATAGAACTGATTTCTGCATGCATTTTTGTTGTCCTTGAGGAATATGAGAATGTTTTGGCTGAATGTCTGGGTGTTACGATCTCTGAACTGCTGTAAGCTCTAACTCTACTGTAATTTTCTTGTGAGTAATTTACAGTATTGCTTTTTTTTTTGTGGAGATTATCTGAAAACACTGGACACTAATAATCTGAGACTCTTGCAGTTTGTTTTTTTCTGAAAAAGAAATAATGTCTCTTTCCTAGATTGGTAAATCAGAGACTTCTGGAAGTACAGTCCCAGGTTGAAGAACTACAGAAATCTTTGCAGGATCAAGGTTCAAAAGCTGAAGATGTAAGTAGAAATGTACATCAAATTGACATTCGATTACTTACCATTTTTGAAACTTTCACCTTTTTGTAAAAGAAAAAAAAAGTAAAATAATTATACAAACTGAGATTTCTAATAGTTTTGTGTATTTACTTGTATAGTCTTACCAATAAATTGTGCTTCTCTAACTAGGATGTAAGACAATTGTCTAGAATACAAAACCATCCTATGTAGAGATGTCATACATGTTTAATTTGAATAATTGTGTCTGTTGCAATAGAAAGCTCAGCACTTAAATTGTTAAATTAGAATAGAGAGCTTTGCAGGGAATTGAGGAAATGTTGATTCTCCATGAACAAAACATCTGAAGTTGTTTTGGGTTTAGTTTTCTTAATGAAAGTTAAGTCCTTTCCAGCCACTGAAAGGTCTGTAATTTTTCATGTAAATATATCTCAGAATGAAAAAAGACAGACAGACCAAAACTAAAAAATAAGTAAAATAATTAGGCCCTCAAAAGAATGCAGCATTTTCTGTTTTTGTATAGAGGGTTAACTTTATTTTAAATCCAAGAATACACATTGTAGCTGAGTTAGTGTGGAAAACAACTTTCAGTCTTCCACTCACAAATTGTTTATCTCCGGTATTTCAAAGAAGAAGCTCTAGAACTTTATTGAAAGCAGTGATTTGTTGGACTGTACGTGCATAGTGTTTGCTCACAATCTCAGTGTATCATGTTGCTAACTGGCAACAAACTGTAATGCGCTGCTTTCTATTTTTGTGTTTTAACTGATTTATGAAAAATAGTGAAAGTTTTTTTATTAGATGCTTATGTAAATTTAAATTTAAGAGTATGTTAAATTTAGTTTACCCTTTAAATTTTCAGAATAAACCATATGAATACTAAACACCTAGCTGATTTACATCAAGATTATTTTCCTGAATAACTTAGAATGTGTTTTAGAATGCACGTTAAAATAGGTCTGTTCTGAGATGTTCTTTGTTGTCTTGATTATTGGCCAAAATCTTTTCAGGGTGAACAAGAATATGAAAGAATTATTCTCAGATACTGAGTATTGTAAATTATCAAATTGTATTCAGCTTTATTTACTGCAATTTTAATTGTGTCCCCTTTGAGGCTCTGGTTGGGTCAGTAATTTAGGGTGTGACTGCACTCATGGCTTGTGTTGGTCTGCCCATAGCAGTGGTAATTTATAGGCACTGATCCCATGGCCTGTTTTCTGAGTTCGATCTGTAGCATTTACTTTGCTCTTAAGGAAGTAAGAGTGAGTGTAGACTCAGGGAAATGTTGAAGATGCAAGAACCTCTGACATTGTGGTTTCTTCATGCACTCTCCCTTGTAAAGCACAGCAAACCTCAGAAGTTAAACACAGCTGCTCAAGTAGGTCAAAGTTGAGCTGAGACAGCCTGAGTTATCTGTAGGATAGGCATACAAAAAGAGTAACTCTTCAGAAACATAAGAAAAAGCAATAGGAGAGACACAGCATACAGTTCACCAGTACATAATTTTCAGCTCATTTCCTCTGTTTTTTGCTATTTTTCTGCAAAATTGCACTGAGATCTATATTTTACACACTTATACTGCAAATGTGCTCAATCCAGAAAATTAATTTTAATTCAGTCCTGAAATCTGTGGTGAGAGCACAGGTTTGTTGGGGTTTTTTTTTGTTTGCTTGTTGGTTTGGTTTGGTTTTTTAAGTTTTGTTTTGTTTTAAAGCTGAAGTTATTTTTAGACATGCCCAAAAAGGTGTAGAGGTAGTGTCGTAACCCAGGCAAGTGTCCTTGTAGTGTTACATGTTCTGTGCCAAGGTCTGCAAGGGCAAACAGTTTTGATTTTTGTACTGAAGTGCAGTGGTAGGCAGCTGTGTGCCATTGGGCCTGTAATGGGCACTGACACATTCTGTTGGGATGCATGATCAGTCTATTCTGAGTGTTACCTTGTTAGCCAGGCAAAGGCCTCCTTACCCCCATCTTTCAGACTATAGAATCAACAGAATAGATTTGGTTTATTGACTTCAAGAATGCAGTAGCCATGTGGGGCTACTCAACAGTTACCTGAACAGCTTTGACTACATCATTTGCATGTCTTATCACTGTTTTATATCATCCTTTTTCTCCTGTTCTCTGCCCTAATCCCCTCCTATATAAACTTCTTGCCTTTAGTTACTTCTGCCCCACTTGTTAAATCCATCCCACGCCTGATATTTTTTATAATGTAACATATGCAGTCTTGGTCTTACGTGTTGTTACTGATAAACACCTCCCTAAAAGGTCCCCAGAATTCTGTTACCTCTTCAGTTAGCCATGAAGTTCAGCCACTTTTTCATTTGGTGAGACACTGGAACAAGTTACCCACGGAAGCTGTGGATGGCCCATCCATGGAATATTCAAGGCGAGGATGGATAGAGTGCTGAGTAACCTGATTTAGTTGAACGTGTCCGTGCTTGTTGAAAAGGGTTGGACTATGTGACCTTTAAAAGTCCATTCCAACCCAAACCATTCTATCATTATGCTCAGCAATCTTGAAAATCTGCCATCCATCATGGTGACTTTTGTTTTGTGACTTTCATCACCTCCCAGTGTTATTGATCTCATACAGCAGTCTTCTGACATGATAACCCATAGTTTCCCACACCCTGCTAAGTTGGCTTAACCTCAGGCCAGAACCTAACCATCTGCCCCTAACTTTAACATCTAAAATGAAACCAAATTTTGCCCTGAAAAAATGGGACAGACTTGTTCCTTTGGTTTGTTTAAGCATGAAAGGAACTTCAAGCAAAACAGCTTTTATTTCTGTAATGTTTAGGAGACTTATCTTCCTATGCGAGAACAACAATTATAGTCATTACATTTTACATTTATATGAGTTTTTAAATATTACTGATACTGCAAAAATCACAAAATTAATGTTTGCCCATTTTTAGACTGATCTGTGTGGCTTTATTTGCCAAGTACATACAGGATCTTTGGGTACCTAGAATGGCTCATTGAGTGTTTTAGTCTCTTTCTTAATCATGTGTCCTGGGTCAGTTAATGTGGGTAAATTCATTTCTGCTTCTTTTAATTTTTCGGGCTGTTTATCACAAGTAGTTTCTTGCGTGCGAAAACGTGATCTATCTAGCTGGGAAAGAGGTTACTCCCTCAACAGTGCAGATACTTGGTAAATAATACACCAGTGGAATCAGTGTTGACTAGTATTTGTGTCTATTTCAAGATAAACCCAAGTGCAATAAAAGGATTTAAAAAAAAAAAAGCTGAGTTCAATTTTGATTTTGTTACCTTAGAGAAATGGGCACTGCTTCCAGGTTTTTCCCTTTCTTGTCCCAGTCAGCCACTAGTCCCCTAAATGATCAGATACAAGTGATGGGGACAGTTCAAATTATTTGTGACTGATAAAGATGCATACAAATATTTTTTTGTTACATAAAGGGTAGTGTTGCTGCAGCTGTTCAGAGGACTGCAAAAAAGAAAAAAGCCAGTGGTCAAAACCACAGATCCTTAGCTGCTGCGAATTTCTGACTGTGAAATCAGTAGAGCCATGTTGACTTCTTTTTATGGCTCCCCACCTTTCTTGTCATGCAATAAGAAAATCTCTTTTGTAATAATGTAAAAACATGCCCCAGGAATGTGATCAAAGACAATATTTTGGAGACAATTTTTTGACTAAAAAGCTTTTTGAATGCACACAGTAATTTTTTCTGTTAACAAGGTGACTAAATCTTTGTTGAAAGAACATTGGAGAAAAAACAATGAAGTAATTTTGTTGATTATTTTATCCTGTATTTTGATGGTGTTGTGGACCATCAGTCACATGCTAACCCTCCCATGTGATTAATACTGTATAAACACAAACTAAAAAGGCAGTTACAGAATTAAATATTCTACATTTGCTTTTTATTCAATCAGTGTGTCAATAACACAATTCAGCATCACACCACAAAAACACCTGCATCTCTTAATTCTATTTGTAGCCCAACAGACTGGCTATTTTCCTTGGTTTTGTTAGTTGTATGATTTTTGTTTTAAAATTACTTTCCTAATTAGCATTTGCTTTTCCTTTGGAATTCTGATTTAAACACAGTTATTTGTAAACGTGCGTCTTTATTCTTTTTATATTTTTGGGTTTTGTGACATGTTTTAGAAAATGTTACAAGATGAAAATTGCTCATGAGAACAGAGGAAGAAATTGCACACGCGTGAAAAATGCATAGCTTTAACTTTTTCTGTTCATGACTTTCTAAATAGTTTCTTCTGTTGGCTGCTGTTTTGCTTTATACTAATGTCATCTCTGTTTCTTGGCATGGGCTTCTGCTCAAGGCTATTGTGAGTATGGCTTTCTATTTACTTAACACTACTTTCAGTTCATAGACATTTATTGAGTTTGTTTTTTTTTTTTCCTTTTGAAAAATACTCACTGTGTATGAAGTGAGTTTAAAATTTAAAAATTACTTCAAAGTTTTTATTCAAAGAGCTTATCTAAATGTGATTTAACCAGGAAGTGGAACACTGTAAGTTGTATGGTGATTTTTATGTGTCTGTAATCAATAAAGATAAGAAACACAAAAAAAGGTGACATTTTTGCTATACTGTAGTTAGAAATACTCTATTCTTTCTAGTTTTTGTGGGGATGGGAATTTACTTCAACTAATTTGCTACATGTCTTCATGCAATAAAAAAAGGTGACATTTTTGCTACACTGTAGTTAGAAATACTCTACTCTTTCTAGTTTATGTGGGGATGGGAATTTACTTCAACTAATTTGCTACATGTCTTCATGCAAGTTGCAATGCAATATTGGCAGGACAGCTCTTCTTGCAAATTTTGCTGCACTTTCCAATGCAAAGTACTGAACAAATTAAAACAACTGCCTGTCATTTATGGTTCTTACTTTTATTGATCTAGTTCCTGGGAAAATATTTGTAAAGTTCTAAAGGGTTCTAATTTTACCAAAGTCACACAGCTGTGAAGAGTAGGGTACCAGAGAGGCTTTACAGTTGTGATCTAATACTGAAGTAAAAAAGTTGGATTTTGGTTGGAATGTCAAAATTGCATGTTTTAAAATAATTCTAAAAGTATGTTAAAGCTTCACAATACATTAAAATAAAACATTTAACTTTCTATTTTAGTCGGTTCTTCTGAAAAAGAAACTTGAAGAACATCTGTAAGTATTTTTTTTTCCTCTTTTGTTTGCAGTTTGAAATTGTGTTTTTCTATATAGAGAGGAAGGCAGACAGTAGTTAGTGTCTTTAGTGGAAAATAAGCAACTAAGAGAGATTAGATAATACAGGAATATTTGTGCGTCTGCTGCTCAGGTTCTCTTTTTTCCCATAGAAAACCCCTGTGAAATTAAGAACGATGAGGGAGCCATCATCTTGTGTTGGGTAGAAAACTTTGCTTGACATTGTGCAAATATTTGCTCAAGAGAACGAAGTAATTTTTTTCTGACAGAAGCATGTTAATATAAACAAAATTAGTTTGTTTACTCTTTGATATGCATTATGGCATAGAAGTAATACTTTAAGAAGTGCTGTCATTTTATTGTGCTATTTCTGCACATCTTCTACTTCCCTAAAAGAGTATTTGCTTTTTTGACTGACTTGCAAAAAGAAGTTTCTGTTGCTTTTGGGTTTAGCCATTCTTTCCTCAATGTTATATCAGTGATAAGTTTTCATTTTAGGCCCTCATTGTGCAATTAACTCTAAATTCTAAGTTAACTACAGTTATTGACAAAGAAACTGTTTGCTGTTGCAGTTATCCATACAGAGCAATGCTTTTCATCTTAACTAAGAAGTCTTTCTACAGTAATATTGTCACTTGTCCTCATGCTCTGTAGGAAAAAAAATCAGTCATGTCCATAGAAATAATCTGTCTCTGAGGATTTTCTGTTCTGTTAGCACTCATTTCAAGCACAGTAATACTACTGGGGAAACAATATGTGCTTCTGTGGTTTGTAACAGAGAGAAGCTCCATGAAGCTAACAATGAGCTACAGAAGAAACGAGCTATTATTGAAGATTTGGAACCAAGATGCAACAACAGTTGTGAGTTACCTGTGCAGTCCATTTCTTTTCTTTGTAAATTATTTCAGGTGCAACATCTTTAATTATAATACCTAAAGAAGGTGTCAGGTAAGCAAAATGTATGTTTTTAATGGAAGTGACATGTATGTTGTTAATTTCTCTGGAACCTAGGGTGACCAGAAACATGCTTTTAACACTTGAAATGCATGGGAGTCACGTTTTAGAAACACTATAGTAAGAAATCATGGAATCGTAGAATGCTAAGAGGTTAGAATGAACCTTAAAGATCATCTAGTCCCAAACCCCAGTGATGCTGGCTATAGAAATACCAGCTCACTGCTGTTGAACCTCAGCTGTCCAGAACTATCATGTCTCATAAGAGAGAAGAATTTAGAAGATCCTTGCTGTTGTTACTGACTCATTTTTACTTCCAATATATATTCCTCCAATGTGTTTTCAAAAATGTGTTTTAATTTGAGCAAATGTTCTGTTACTGGTCAACGAGAATGTAAGATATGTATTGTATTGCTCAGAGGGTATGCAGAACCCAGTATGTAGTTGTTTTTTAGCACATTATTGATATGTTTTTTACAGAGCACTAATGAGGGAGGTTGTCTGGATTTTTCAAATGAATAGTTATTCTAGAATAAGGCAAAAGATTGTAATCAATGGCAGCTTTTCTGGTTTGTGGTAAAATTATTTTATTCATAGTGAGATGGAGCAAAAAGTAGAAAAAAAATCATGTTGTTTTATGAGATCTGAGAAGTTGTTTAGAAGATGTAGAAGTAATAGTGGCTTGACGTATTTTTATACCAACACAGGCAAAATCTGTGCAATTAAATTGTCCTACTGGTCTCAAATGCTGCTTAAGAAAATGTGAGGGCAAAATTAAATTTAGTATATTCACATTACAGTTTAGTAGAGTTAAGCAGGAGTTTTGCCTCTTAGGAATTATTCCACAATATGTCCATAAAATAACAAAAATCAGTATTTGCCTGTAATACAGGCTAAGATATTATAGTAGCTGTAAGTCATTAGCAAACAGATTTTCTATGTGTATTCAGTGACATGGTTGCTTTATGATTCCATTTCTCTTTATTTGTCAGAATTTTAGAAAGCAAAATTGTATCCCAGAAAATCCATTTTATGAGATTTTATAGGAGTACATATTTTTAATGGGTTTCTGAGCTATACGGTAATTAAATCTGTGGTACCTGCTACATCAGATTTCTTGTCAGCTTTTCTTAACTGAAGTATGTTTTAGATGTGTCTTAAGTGTCTATTGTAAAATATAAAAATATGCATAATGTACTGATGTTGTTTTCCAATGTGTGCATCTCCTGATATAAAGCACTTAAAATCGAGGAATTACAAGAAGCTCTACGGAAAAAGGAGGAGGAAATGAAACAAATGGAAGAACGATACAAAAAGTATTTGGAAAAGGCCAAAAGTGTAAGTGGATATGTTCCACACTTGTCTGACAGAGACAGTATTACGTGTCCACTATGTGGGAATAAAAATTAAGGAGGTATCTATATACACACTAATAAGTTAAAGAGAAGGAAGCTCCATTGATTATCATCTTATTGTTTCAATGGATTAATTCTGCAAAAGATTACCCCATCTTTTATTGATGCTCTTTTGCACTAAAGTCATGAATCACCTTCATTAGTTGTTAAATTTCTCTGATAATGTTCAGCATTCTGCATTCTCTTTTGCCTTTATTGCTTAATATATGCTTCTGTCAAGAAGGTCACTGATATTTAAGTATTGGGGATATAGGTATACTACTAGCTTTGAAATTATAATATTGTGGTCTTAATCATAGTCCCATTTCTTCTCTTGCCATACTTTGTTATTTTGAGTATCTTAAAAGCATATCAATGTGTTTAAATGCATATCATTACCTTGGAATCTGTAAGTAGGTTCCTGATCTGACAGAACTTTATGCTTTCTTTCTTTACTTCTTTGGAATTTCCTGAATGACTTTTTGTGAAATGTCTGAGGAAGTCTAAAAAAATTTCTCCTATGTCCCCCTGCCCTCACATTTTATACTGGTTGTTGTGTCTTAGCATGCATTCCACTGAAAGATAGGATTTCCCTTTATAGTAAGATTTGTATATTTGTATGTAATGTGTTACTGAAGGGTGTTTTATAGGACAGTAGCATTAATTACTTAAGTTTTTGTAATCTTCTTATCAGCTTTCATCTTATTTGTGTTTGGTTTGTGGCTGAGTTTTTTTGTTTCTTTTTGTTGTAATTGATGGGTTTTGGTGCAGAGTTTTTTTTGTAGAATCATAGTCTTTCACTATGGAAGATGTATCCAGGACTAATGTTTTCTTAGAAAAATAACATGCTTTTATAGGACAGAATTACAGAGTCATTTAGGTTGGAAAAGATCTCCAAGATCATCCAGTCAGCTTTTGATTGATGATATAACAGTGTTAATTAGACCATGGCACTAGGTGCCACATCCAATTCCTTGAACACCTCCAGGGATGTGTACACTACCTCCCTAGGCAACCCATTCCTATGTTTAACAATTTAACCTAAACCTTCCCTGGCACAGCTTGTGGCCATGTTGTCTCATCCTGTCACTGGTTGCTTGGGAGAAGAGGCCACAACTCCCACCTGGCTTACAACCTCCTTTCGAGAAGAGAGTTATATGGGCTCCCAGAGTTATCATTTCTCAAGGCTAAGCACCCCCAGCTCCCTCAGCCACTCCTCATAGGATTTATATGTTTACTATACAGTAAAAATATCTCACTTCATTGTTTTATTTCAGCATCTGGACACAACTCTGAAATAAGTAGAACAATAAAAGAAGAGAAGTCTATTTCTATATAGCCAGAGGTTGTTAAAGAGTTTCAAGCCATTTTATATTAAAGGTTTAATAATTCAGGCAATTTGCTAGATTTGTTCTTGGTTTAGCTCTGTTTGCTAGCACTCTTGGATGACACATACAACTGTACCGATGTCCTTTCATCTTTTTAGTAGCTTAACAATTATGCATGTACAACAGAGTGCTTGGCTTAACAGAGCTACCTAGAAGTTACAGCACCTGGTAGGTGAAGCACCAGGTAGGTGAAGCATGGCAACTATCTGTAAGGACAGAAACAGTCCTTCCTCAAACAGGAGAGATTGACAGGCAGGAAAATCATAGCTATGAAAAGCAAAACATTATAGAAGTTGTTTCTCTAACTGTGGCCCCAAGGAAATGTAGCCTGGGTTAGGAACTGCAAATGTGAGTCTGGGATACTGAACCTTCTAGGTATCACTTTTTTTTGTCAGTAGTTTTGTTTCCCAGTCCTGTAAAAGAGGGCCCCTGTTCAGATGCTCTAATGTGTCACAGTTGACAAGAGAGGTAGACATATTTTAAGTTACTTTTTTTTATTTTTTAACCTGACTTAAAAGGTTTTAATTCCTTAACAAGATTGCTTTTGCAGGATTTAACAAAAATCAAACTGGTTTTCTCTAACAGGTCATCCGCACGTTAGATCCTAAACAGAACCAGGGTGCTGCTCCTGAGATTCAGGCACTGAAAAATCAGTTGCAGGAGCGGGACAGAATGCTTCATTCCCTGGAGGTAGTAATCATTGTGTTTTGTGGTAAAAACTCATTGTTTTTTAGTTAGAGACTAATACTTCTATTATACTTTGGCTTTCAATATATGGATTTTTTGTTTTATAGAAAGAATATGAGAAAACAAAAAGTCAAAGAGAAATGGAGGAGAAATTTATCGTTAGTGCCTGGTACAACATGGTAAGAATCTCACAAAACTTTTAATTGAAAATTTTTTTTAAATGAAAGAAATTACTAATACTGTTTGTTTCTGGCATGTTTATAACAGTAGTTTTGTTTGAAAAGCATTTTTCAACACACAAACATAAAAGCAGTTTTTAGGAATCTTAAGTTATCTCTGTGTACAAGTCTGTACCTATAATAACCTTCTGGGGAAAAAAAAAGGAGGTCATAATTTTCAAGTTTTAAAATTAGAAATGGCTCAGATCACTGTTTTGTAATCCCAGCCCTTCACTCACAAAAATTATAGTCCTCAAATTTATTTTGATTCACCATTTTCCAGTCTTCCAGTTGTTTCTAATGAAGGGGCACAATCAAAGCAATTCATCTTACTTGCAATTCAGTTGGAGTGCTCTGAGAAATGACCCCTTTAACTTGGGTGCAAATTTAGCCCCATACAAAGAGTGAGGACATCAGCAAGACCCTCACTTAAATTATTCAAAGAAAAGTTTGGATAGAAGGTAGGGTCTGTGCAACCATACTGCTGTTGCTGGGCCTATGTGCCAGAAAAGTTGTCACCCACGTCAGATGTGTTCAAGATTTCCCTTTGGCACACTGGTTGGTTGCATTGAAACTGCTCTTCATCTGTAACTTGACATCTGCTCTAGACATCTATAACTTTAGTGTTTCATACTGCTCAATCATAGAATTCAAATTCCTCCTCTCTGTATTCCTTTGGAAGAGTTTTCTTCTTGCTGTTCTGCATTCTTCTTGTCTTCATGAATAGCAAGTCTAAACTCAGAGTGTTTGAATTGTTTACATATTGAAGGTATTTTCAAATGACCACTGTCCTTGGCCAATTTTATAACATTAGTCCTCCTAACAAGTAGAAGACAAGCCTAAGGTAAGACTCACAGTTCAGTGACCTATCATGAGCACTAAAATGGTCACTGCTAGCTTTGTCTGTATCATTCTTTAATTAACCTCTGCTTTTATGCACAGCTGCACAACCCACCACAGCATTTTTACTTTCCTCGTTGCATTTTTGCCTGATGAGAGCATGCTGTCTCCCGAGATGTGCTTCTGACGTAGGAGTTGGTGTTTCCACAGATGATGACAATACCTAAACTTTTTTCAGAAAAAAAGTACTTTTCTAGGTCAACATGCTGAAAGGAGCCAGGAATTGGGGGAAGTTCTTTTGAGAAGAATTGTCCAATTGCCAGGAGAAGCATATATATATTGAGTTCTTAGGTGGTTACTCTAAACCTGGAGAACGACAGCAGGGAAGGGGAAGAGTTCCACACAAAGTATTAGGAAGAATGTCTTACATTTGTCCTTAAAAATAAGATGCTTTGTGTATGGAATTCAAATTTAGTCAGTGTGAAGACAAGTAGTGAACAAAATATAAATTAATAAAGGTGTTTTGTATTGGTATTCACTGAGAAATTGTCTTTGTCCATAGGGGATGAATCTGCATAAAAAAGCAGCAGAAGACAGACTGGCTAGTACAGGCTCAGGACAGTCCTTCCTGGCTAGACAAAGGCAAGCCACGAGCACAAGGAGATCTTACCCTGGTCATGTCCAGCCAGCAACAGCAAGGTAGAGGAGCCTTGCCCTTAGAAAGAAAACTGCCCTGTGATCCAGGCCACTTCTATTGCAAGTGACAACATTCAAGGAAAATAAACCAGCATCCTTTCTCTTTCTCCCTTATTACTGCTATTATTTTACCATTCAGGAAAAGGTTATATTATGCTTTCTCATTGCTCTGTTATGCCCCTTGCTTTTATTTTTTGGAGTTCATTTCTCTGCATTTTCTGAATGTGCCAAAATTTTGAAAACATCTAGAGGAGTGCTGTATAATAACAGTCTTATTTGTATGAAGCCTGGTCTCTCGCAAAAACCTCATGTGGACCATATGACAGTGTAGATTTCTTATCACAGTTGGCACTTTTGTGCCTGTAAGGGTTGTTATGCTTTATAAGACTGTTTTTGTTCAAAGGGAATTTGCTTTTTATTTCATCTACTATCCTGTTGCTTCAGAAAAATGCTGAAATCTCATTACGGAAATGCAAAATTGGATTATAATATTATTGTGAAATATATTTCATACTAAAAACTCACCAATGCAAAAAAGAAAGATTGGGAGTTTTTAAATCTCCTAAGTTCAAAGTTTGCTCTTATTCTTGGCATTTAGGGAAGCAGGATGATCTTTTTCCAGGTTTTTCTTTATCAACTGGTGTTACCTCTTTTGCTGGTAGAGATGAATATTTTTGAATGGTTTGTTCCACTCTTCTTTGTCAACTGTATGCTTAAATACATATTCTAAAAACATGGAGAAGTATTTAGGATGTGCTACTCTGCTACTCTATCTTCCATTTAAAAAGGACATTTGTTTTAAAATTTTATTATTATGGATGAACAACACGTAATGGATCAAGGCCCTAATTGATATTGTTAATGTACTCCAGTTGTCATCCCCTACTAAAAGACTTGCTTTTAATATATTGATTCAGGGTATAATTGTATCAGTTGCCTTACTAATGGTACCAGTGCCTTCAGGTGAGTTTACTGCTGACTTTGTTGGAAACTGGCTGTGATTCGTTGTACTGCCTTTTTAATGCATAGCTGATTAATTGTTGTAACACCTTCATGTTGATCAATGAATGGAGGCGTCTCCTATTTAGGTTCTGTTCCTACAAAGTTATACTTTTTTTCCTGACCAACTCTATGCATTCCCTATAATTTTTGTCAAAAAATTGATGGACACAGAGAACCTGAGTATTGGCTGGAAGTTTCATATTTCTACATCTTGTTGTGATTCAATTTTAAATTTAGGTTTATATTTAGAGACTGTTTGGGCTCTAATGCATGGGCAGTCAGTTTATAAATTTTTTCTTTCATCTGATTTTGATGCCCTTCTAAGTGGAGACATTTCTTTTTTGCATAAATCCCTTTAGAGAAAAGATACTAGCATTTATCAATCGAATGACATTTTTTGGGACTATTGTTTTATCCTCAACTGCATCATCTGTTTTAATCTGGGCTAAGAAATGCATTCAGTATGTGTCTGAAAAATATTTTCAGTTCCAGTTATGCCCCCACACACACCCCCATGCACCCCACCCAGAAAACAGATGCTGAGTTCTACATGTAGTTCTGTAATTTATTCCTCACATTTGGGAAAAAATGGTTTTCTAAAATTTTTCTGTACTTATGCAGTATATAACTGGTATGGACTTGCAAAAATGAGATGAGACATGGCAAGTTTCTTGTGTGCAGAAAGATAATGCAAAGGATAAGTTGCAGATAATTTCTGTAGCTCAGTGAGGTGATACGGTCTGCTGTCTCTTACTGAGATACAAAATGCTCTGTATACAAAATCCTTTCTGTCCTCATCCAGATGATTGCAGTTGATGTGCGATAGCTTTTACTGATTTTGTTGTGCAATCAATTTAATAATTTGAAGAACTCTTTACTACATGCTGTATGTGAACAGGAGCAAGACCACTCCTCCAAGAGAATTTGATGTTCCTGTTTGAGGTTACAGCATTTTGGATCACCCAGAGCAAGAACCTAAGAATACCTAAAGCTCTATTTTAATTTTAATCTAGCTAATTTTTCTGTTACAAAACTGTCAAGGGCTATTTGTGAAAGAAAGGGATGGAACCTTAATGGGAAGTTTTATCTCTCAATTTTGTCTAGTAATTTAATTACTTATTGCTGTTAGTTAGGTGCAGATCTAAAATAACTTTAACACAATCAGCACACTAGGATAAAAGTAATTGCTTTTATAATTATTATGTTAATATTTGTTTTACTGTTTTGCCTCCAAAGTTTTGATGATAGTCTAATGCCACTGAGAGTTAGGAGATGAACAGATGCTGGTTAGAAGCCTTGTCTTAGGCTTTTACTTTCCAGTCTCTCATAGCTTCTTTTGCTTCTTGGTGGTTGTTGGCTTTTCTCCTCTTTGTGATTCTGTCTTTCCTTTTCCCTTGAAGATAAGACACTGATGTGTTTTCTGTACTTCTCTTCAAAAATAGATAGCGTCATTATATAGCATCAAAGAGCAACACAAAACTCATATTGCATCAAGCTTTATTGTTGCTCATAGTAATTGTTAGGCAAGTGAACAATCATTTTGTCTTTGAGAATTTACAAACATGCAGAAATTCTAGTATTTCCCAGAATTTGTGCTAAATATAAAAACCTAAAAATGTACTGCGCTCTTACAGAAATATACTCAGTTGCTGTCTGGTTCTAGTAAGTCATTTGTTATGTCTTCTATTAGTAATTAAGAGGAGTTCAGTAATTTTTTCTTCGGTGCTTTACTTCTTTAATTTGCTGCGTACATCCATTCTTAGTCTTTGTATGTGGATGAATGCAAGCGGTGAACATCATTAAACCTTCTCTTTTACAAGAACAGCTTCTTTATTCAAAGGGTTCAACTTCATTATTTTGCTTGCTTGTTGTCTATCTTTGTAATCAGTGTGTATTAAGAAAAAGAAGGAGCCCAGACTGTGACTTCAGGGAATAAACACATATATAGGGGAGCTACCATATGTTCCCCATTTGTGTTACCTTGAGTAATTAAAGAATAGAAGCAAAAGCCCCAGCCCATGGATCAGAATTCTCTCAGTACATTAGATAGTTCTGAGAAATTTTTAGGAATACTTTTTTCCCTTCGGGCAAGAAAGACTATTTACATCAAAATCGTAGTGATAATTACTAAGTCAATGCTGTATCCTGTCCTGACACACCACGGAAAAAAGACCCACAACTGAGCTTAAAGAGAAAAGGTTCTTCAGGTCAGAGGTAAAACAACTGAGGAGTTAATGAGAGTACTTTTCTGGGCAGTTTGCTGAGGATCTGCCCAGAATAATCTTTCTGACAGATTTTAATTAATGAAAATAAATTACAGTGGTTACATTTTTTTTTTTAGGATTAATACTTTCATTGTTTAGAGCTGAGCGTAGTTTCTGACCTAAAAGGATGATGGATTCAGCTGTGCAGTCCAGTTAATGTACTTCTGTGGAGAGTTGAGTTTTTAGCATATCCAGTCAGACATTACAGAAGAAAAAAAATTCAAGTTCCCTCTTTTCTTGATAGCAACACATAACCACTTGGATCATAACACATATTTTCTAAGTGCTGTGAAAACTGAAGTAATTTAATTTAAAGGTTGTGTGTTCCATCCACAGTGCAAAGATGTCTCGGTCTCCCCTTGGAGACAAACTCCCCGAGAAAAAAGCAGTGTAGCCCGGTGCAATGCTCCTCCCCCGACTTCAGCCACTTTCTTTTGTCTTTCTTAAGTAACCATAAGTATTCATAAGTACCCAATAGTTAGTTTCCTAGCAACTTAGTGGGAAAAAAATTCTATAAGTAAAAGAAAAAAAAGAAAGAAATCCAACCCCCCAACAAAAGGTAAACATGCAATATACAATTAAATACTTTGCATATTTACAATGAAATAAATACATAATGGCTACAAGATGCCTTTCATTTTGTTTGGAAATAATCAAATGGCGATCTTGTCCTGTTCAGGTGTCACTCGTGTTAGCAGTAATACTTCTGCAAGATTTTTGTGGCTCTCTGTTCTGTAAGGAGCACTGGCATTTTTATATGTATGAAAGAATTCACAGTGAATATTCCTATTACTGCTTTATTATGATCTCAGATAGTAAGTGGTATGTGTAAGCTGTCAAGAAAATGTAAAAGTTTTTTTGCAATTTTAAAGTCCTTGGTATTTTTACTTGTGCAAAAAGCTTTTGCTTTTCCTGTGTTCTCTAGTATATGAGACTATACACTTAACAGCTTCCTGAATGACTTTGAGTGGCTTTAATTTTCCTGATATGTTGACATTTTCTGTGATTTGGTTGTTGTAAGATATTTTAATGTCACCACTTGATTTTCTTCTTGTTAGTGATTTGGGCGGAGATTACCCTGAATGTGGCTAACTTTCCTTTTTATTATGAAGCAAAACAGTATTTCAACTCACTGTATAGAGATTTTTTTATTCTTGCCCAACATATTGACTTTTTGCAAGGAATGATGAGGGAGGTATTTTTGCACTCAGTCAGCTATGCAGTACTGACTTATAAAGGGGTTTTGCACATGTGTTTTAGGTAGAATGTGGAGTCTATGTTTTCCAGTAAGATTGTACTGATAAACTTCAGTATCTCCTAACCAAATTTAGCAGGCATTGCATAAATAAATAGCTAAAAGGATCTATCAGAATATACTTCCAAGTGATGAGGGTTTTTGGAGCAAATCCTAGAATCCTAGCCATGCCTCCAGTTTGTCAGGAGGAATCAAGAACATATCCTGGCATGGCTGATTGGATTGCCTTATTCCTGTGGTGGTCCTTCCCTCTGGAAGTCCAGAAAAGTAGCAGAAGTTTGTCAGTGGTCCTGCAGGCTATGACTAACAACAAGGTGTGATTTCTTTGGTTTGAAAGTGGAGGAGGCAGGTGCAACCAACTAGTCAGTAGAAAAATCAGAAGAGCATTCTTTCAGCATTTTGCATTTTGGTTTTCATTTCAAAACAAATGAAGAACCTGAGCTTATTGAGCTAGAAAGAAGATTTTTATCTTTTAAATTAAATTTTAATTTTAATTGAGTAACTATTAGAGGTTTTACCCATATATAAGGCAGAAGCTGTCATTATCAGCCACCACAACCTCAGACTTTCTGCATCTGGTACAGTGAAACCCTGTAAAGATTGTCTCTGCTACCAGCTCCATTGAACCATTTGGAGACACTGAGGGCTTAGTTAGTTTCATCCTCTGTTTTTCTTTGATTTTTTTTTTAATTCATTAAGGTACTGGGATATAAAGTGTATTTTTAAAATGCATCAGCACATTGAATTAGGCAATGAATGAATGTTGATTGGAGGGCTCTAGGAAACTTGACAAATCATACTGTCCCGTGGGGCATTGAGACAGCACCTGACAGTGCAGCCAAGACAGCTTCCCAGACTAATTGTCTTGGTGTCAGATGGTAGTCAATCAGTAGGAACTTGTGCTGACTGCTGTAATTGAAGTCCTTATCTGCTGGAGGATGGTGTTGCTGTCAGCTTCACTGTGATCCAGATTCTGTCTTCACCTTTGGGCCTTGCCAAGGTAGTGCAGGACTACCCTGAAGCATATTTCTGCATTAGTTTGCTCTGGTGTCAAATCAGGAGTTTGCACTGCTGCTATTTGCTGTGCATGTAAAGTTGTTTGGAAAATTGCATATCCTTCAGTCCCCTTTGCATATGGTGTCATTTCCAGACTGAAAACAGATTCAGTTTGTCAGATAAAAATTTCTTGCAGCTGTCTTGCTGCAATGGGTCTCAGAGACTGATCCATACAACATGAAAAATACTGCTAGTAGAGGGAGTTACAGGTCAGTTGGGCAGCCTTTCCTTTCTGGTGCTGACTTATTCATTGCTTTACATTTGAGAGGTCTTTGCAATCAGATGAGGTGATTTCAGAAAGAGGAACAGTGGTTGTTTTAATTAATAAAAAAGCAGACATCTGTCAGCACTGTGAAGAACTGCTAACTACTGTAGCATGGCACAAATCTGAAACACTACAAAAGCAAGTATTTCCACTTGGTGTAGATTACAGTATAGAGGAGTTTATTATGGAGATGGAAATTGAATCCCTAATGATTATACATATCTTGAAAAGAAAAGAGCTAACATAAAGTCCAGTTGTTACTGTTAGCATGTTCATGTTGTTAACCTGATCATGAAAGTGGATGGAATTTTAAGAGAAAATCCCCAGTGGTGTAGTATTTATGGAGTTATAAAATAGTTGTAATGAGACCATCAGACTTTTGATTTGGATTTGAATGTAACATCAGCTATATAATTTAAAATATTGTAAAGCAGAGGTTATTGTTCACAGCCAAAAAAGGTTAGTAAGCTGGAGAGTAAACTTATTTCCTGGAGGCATCAGTGGTTTTGAGAGCGATTTTAAAGCTTTTGTTTAGCAGTGTCTGTATAAGCATTACATTATTAGGCCACAATTTTTTAAATTTTGAATTTGCTTTGTATTCTCTTTGTAACTCTCTAAGATGCTGCAGATGCAGTGACAGGTTATGCTCAGTGAATTTGCCCTCACATCTTACATTTTTGTTTTCTTCTATGTATTGCTACCTCAACAGGTGGCTTTAAAATAGAGAAATTGGCAGATAACTATTTTTAGAACATGGTAAGAATTTCTAGTCAGGAAAGGATGCTAACAGAATTTTTACATCCTTGAAAGTTAATACAGTGTCCTGAGTTTACAAGACCTCTCAAAAGTACTATTGACTCAAAGAGAAGAAAAAAAAACCACTTCTGTGTTTGTGCAACATACACTTTAAGGACACTTGAAGTGCTATTAAATAGTAAGTTTGAGCTAAATAATAGCCAGATGAGACTAAAGGAGTAGATTATATTCATTTATACACAATAGAATAGGTACATGCTTATGTAACTTGAACTTTTTATTTTTTTATAGAACTACAGTGATCTTCATGTTAATCCTGAACTGTGTAACTATATGCACCAAGCAGTGCCAAGCAAGCTTAAAAGACAATGATTGCTCAAAATACACACCCTCAAGGTCTTTGAATGTGTTGAATGTGCTAATTTTTTAAATTCCATTTGATATGTGTCTCTGTGTTTCTATTTGTTTTTCTATTATGGTTAGTATTCTGAGTGGATGAATGAGAAGGAAAAAAAGAGGGATACACAAGCTACAGGACTTGTAGCATAAATATTCTTTTTTATCTATTTAACCTGGATTGTCCCATCACAAGAAGCATTCTTAGAATCATTTTTGACCAGTGCAATACAAGGGAGAAGGAAGTGGGGAAACAGGCTCTACTTTCAGTCCAGTGAAGCCAATTTGCTCTTTGCAGTATGAAAACAAAAATGCCCATTTAGTGCTGTGCCGGTGCTGTGTAGGGACATCTGTGTTACCTGGGGAAAGTAGCTGTGTCAGTAAAGCATTCCATTTCCGTTACACTGGAGTGTACACAGAAAAAAGGGTGCATCAGTGAGGATGGAGAACTGTGCCAGCCTCTCCGATTCTCTTCCAAACTTAGATTCCCTTCCACAGCTTTGTGGAGTGCTCTCTTGACTGCTCGGTGACTGACTCAGCTTACTTTAACAAGAACATGTATCATTTTCTGGCAATTCAAACCTGTATCTGCATGCAAGGGATAGAACGTGCCAGTGCAGTGGGGCAGTGATGAGCCTCTTGCACAGGATGAGCTCTGATGAAATTTAAATGCCTTCAGTGGTGCTCAGAGCTCAAGACAGCTGATGTGACTCTGATTGTCTTTTAGCCTCTAAACACGTGCAGAATTGGGTGGGCACCTTTCACTTTATCTTGCTTTAACAGTTGTACTCACAGACAGCAGAAATGCCTGAGACTTGCTCATTGCTGTGTAAACTTACTTTCTGTAGCTTTATTAGTTAAGAACGGTGCCCTGAAGAATTTTCTCAGAAGTGTGTGAAGTTTAATGACAGCTAAACTTAGATATCGACCAAGGCTGTTTTGTTGCTGTTCCAATTATTGGCCTGTAACCTTCCTGTTAATTTGAACAGTTGCTTGGCAAAGGTATTTTCCCCATGAATTTGCACAACTCTTAAGTAGAGGTGGCCTTACTAAACTGCTTTTAAAAAGACCTGTTCTGTTCTCTGTTTTGGTTTTTTTGTTTTGTTTTTTTGGGTTGTTTTTTTTTCAACAGTAATATGTTATCTGCTTTTTAACTTTCTTCTTTATTCTTTTATTTGCAGTGATGTGGTTGCATGACCTGCAGCATTATTATAACAGGGACTGTTCACTGCATGACTTGCTTTTCTGTCCAGACTGCATAACCAAAACTTAACCAGTTCTACACTTAAGACTCATGGCCATCTGATTTCAAAGGGGGATCTACTTGCAGAGAAGCTTGCCATCCTGGGGAATGGCTTTCCCATTTCCCACTTCCACTTACTCTTTCTCTTCACAAAAAGTCTCCTATGAGGCTAGAAGAGAGGAAATCCTGTATTCACAACTCAACAGGAGGCGTTCTGCAAAGTGACAGAGCAGTGTCAGCTCTCCATCTTACTTCCGCCTGTCCACTTTATTTAATTCTGATTAACAGTATTAACACACAGACTTCCTGCAGCATTTTCATATACTGAACTATAAAAATCTAGTCTTAACGAGTTCCTAAAAAAGGCTTTTTGGTTACTGTTAAAATTTCAAAGCACCCACACCCTTAAAGGATCCAATTTGAATCTTTAAACACATAAAGTAAAGCAAAGGAGATGTTTTACCAGGAGAAATGACTAATGAATTGCTGCTTGGCGATCCCATCTTCCTTAGAAAACCAAGCAAGTTTCATCTGATAATCTCCGAGCCAGGCAAACTACCGGGTGGTATTTTGTTCACAGGCACTGCCTGCTTCCTTAATATGTATATACGCAGTAGTTTGTGGCTGTTGTATTTTTCTCTCTACATTTGAGCTGTGTTGTTGGTTTCTTTCAGAAACTTTTTTTTCCAATCTGTATACAATTGTTAAAACAATCTGAGGAAAGACCATTAATGGAGATAAGTATGAAAGTCATCTACACTTTCAGTATTATGCAGACTGTTCTTGCCAGTTTATAATTTGGATCGTTTATCTTTCACCTGTACTGTTTTTTTCCTTTTTTTTCTTTCTCTTGTCACAGTCTTAGCTATTTAATTTCCAATTGCACTAGCTTGGCTGTTTCTTTGTATTTTGAAGTTTAGATATAAGATTTGCCATATGTAGACAGTGTAACTCAAAATGCTTTGTACTGCCTATATTAATTTAAAAAGCTGCTTATTTAATATTCCTAAATATCTGCACATTTGTACTACTGTATCTTTGTTTTGTATTGGACATCCAGTACTGGCAAGATTCAGAAGACAAGGGAGTGCTGTAGTGTTGTAAGTTAAGAGGTTTATTGTATAGGAGTTAGTACATAACAAACAGGGAAAGGGGCTTTCAAGCCTTAGGATTTGCTGGAAAAACTGAAAAGTCTGAATGCTGAGTACCTTAAGCAGTTTGATTTAAATCCAGTTACAGAGAAACCCCATTCTTGCTCACCTGGATCTTAATCCTGGCAGAAATATTGATATGAGCTGTGCTGCCTCCAGGAATAGTTTTACTTGTTTGGGCAGTAGAAGAACCTCCAGCCCTGTTTCGTGGGAGCACCCCCACGCTGAAGAAGTGTTGTGTCCACTTGTCTCTGCAGTCTCTTCTGGTCACACACACAGTGCCTGCCTCGTCCCTGGCCCGTCAGGTGGGCTTGGACAGAGCCACACCTCGGGCGCAGAGACGCCCGCTTGTGTCCAGTCCTCAGGGATCCTGATCCCACAGTGTCCTTGGCCTCGTGCAGAATGACGCAGAGAAAGGACAGACGTGTCCCCCAGCAGAGCGTGGTGGTGTGTGCTGCCTGGCAAAGAGATGGCAGGTAGGAATGGACTCCAAGCAGGCCAGGCAGCAATCTGAAGGGTAAAACTAGGATCCCAGTGAGAACTGTGGTGTTTTTTCTTCTGGATACTGTATCAGGTACTGTGGCTACCAGGTGCTCTGGCTGACAGCTGTCCGTAAAGGCTTCAGATGGGGATATATGTCTTTCCTGGTCCACCAGGGCCAGGGACAGTGAAGTCTTACGTGGCCTGCAGCCAGGATCTGGGGTTTGGTGATAATGAGTCACGTACTCATGCAGCAGAGGCAGCAGCATTTCATCAGACTGAGTCCAGCAGAGAGCTGAAGGATTTGTGTCTTTCCAGGTCCTAGCCATTGATCCCTTGTTATGTGTCAGGGCAAGCGTTACTAGTAAAACTTCTTTTAGTTGGGTGTTAAAGGCATGGTATGTTTTTCATTTGCTAGTGCTGCTTCGGCTGGGACCACACCCTACCCCAAGCCAGGCTGGGTGCAGGGTCCCTGAAATCAGGGCACTGTGCTGGGCAGGAGGGGATTGCTTTTTTGTGCACCTGCCTCCACAGCTGTCCCAAAGTGATGCCGAGCAGTACCTCATTTCTCCAAGTGGTCTGTGCAGATTAGAGACTAAGTATCAGTTGTTCTTGAGCCTTGATGACATTTATATGTAAGTGTGTTTAGCTTGACAAAAGTTATTTGAGTTTACTAATGCAACAGAGAGATGCCAGGTGGAGCCACTCAAGGAGCTGGCTACTTTAACTAGATTAACCTGGCATCTCTGTCATGAAGTGGTTGTGAGCTCTCAACTCAGAGCTGATCTCCAGCATGTCTCTGATATACTAACTTCATTTGTGCTGCATAGAAAACTCTCATACCTTCTTAATAGCAGCTTGTTTGACAGTCCTGAATTAAATGTTGATCAATTATCAAAGTAATAACTGTTTGTGAAGTTGCCAGTGATATATTTTCTGTAAAAGAATGAATTCTTAGAGTGTCAAAACATTAATTTCCCATTTCACCTACAAATTGTGTAACTACCAGATTGTTATGGTAGCAATATTAATATACATACCTGTATATAGACAAAAAAACCTCATTAACGATAATTGGAATCAAAAAAATTTAATATTTTTTCCCAGTCAAATACACTAATGCTTCCAAGTGATAGAAGAGTGTACAGTTGTTAAACAAGTTGTAAATAAACGCTTATATAAAATGTAAATGCTTGTCTCTCCTTTATTTGGTACTTGGTTGTGAACTGCATTTCCTGAGGCTCTGCAAAGGAGGGTGAGTGGCAGGTGGGCAGCACCAGCGCATCAAAAAGCACAACGTCCTCACTGCTGCTGGGACCTGTCCCATCCCGCTGCCCTCATGAGGTGCATGCTGTGGTTTGCTTCTCCAAGGGCCAAGGCTAAATGACCAAAGTAAGAAAATTTTCCCTTGCCAATAGAGACCACCAAAGGTGGGGGAAAGAGACACTGCTAATGTGGACAGGAACAACTGTCCTGCCATCCTGCACTGATGAACAGCTCTGGCATCTAGGAAGGAGGGCTGGGTCAGTCTCAGACCAAATGCCGATCTTTGTGAAAGAGAAGACAACAGCCTGTGAGAGATACTGAGCCCATGAGTGTTGTGTGTGCTGCTGGGGTTAAGAATGATGTGCCAATACCCTGGCACAGCCTTTCAGGGCTGCTCTGTAAAAGGAACAGGATCACAAAGGGGAGGCTGCCCTGGTGGCAGCACTGGCAGCCTAATGGTGACTGGAGGGCTTGAGGCTGAGGGCAGGCTGGGGTGAAGTGTTCGCTGTCTGGGAAGGGCAGGAGGGCCCCAGACGTGGTGGCCAGCTTCCTGTGCACCACAAGCATTGAACAGTGGAAGCAGGAAAGCTGCCAGAGCTTCGCTTCTAGCTGCTTGTGATTCACTGTGGTCCTTTCCCCTCCTCAGTCCCACCTCTCACTCGTCTCACTTCTAGCTTGTGATTCACTGTGGTCCTTTCCCCTCCTCAGTCCCACCTCTCACTCGTCATCTTTGGCGTGACTAGCATTTTCTGTCTCTGAAACATCAGATCATCATTCCCTGTTCCTATTGTTTCCCTCACTCCTAACCTAACTTTTGCTATGCATCTGCTTCCTTTCCCAGCTCTCCCACCCTTGCAGTGTGCTGAGATCCACATTGGTATCCCTTATTCTGGCCTCCTTGCCCTGCTCTCTGCTCTGCTCCCTGACAACTTCAAGGCCATGACTTAAGAGTCCACATGGCAAGGGGGGAATTGTGCCCCTGGGCCCACACTTCACGCTGCCCCTCCACAGCCGCTGGCCCAGCAGGGAGGATGCAGCCCTGCAGGTTCTCTTCCGGTGGTACCTCTCCTGCACACCCCACAGCTGCAGGGCCCTGCTTTACCCACAAGGGTGTTCGTGTTGCATCAGATGTTGCAGGAGGTGACAGCCAGTGCTGAGTTGTGGTGGAAGAATACTCCCCTACAGTTCCCCTTTTCTACTCTTTTTGTCCACAAATAACTTTTGAGCACCTATCTACTGTGCACATTAAGTGGAATCAACACTGCAAATAAATCCTTGTGCCCATTGCTTGTCTCGAGACCCTTTCCTCTTCCTTAGGTGCTAAAACAATTAAACAGCCTCAAACCAGCAAAATACTCACGTGGCAAAACAGGCTGACTGGAAGTGAAGGTCAGCTATGCCAGGGAAAAGAAGATTAAGTGATGTAACTGGAAAACCTTCATATCCTGAATGTACACACTGCTCCCTGGTTTAGGGCTGAGAGCCCTGGGAGGCAGTGGAGCCTCTCTGCCTCCTGTGACTTCCTGTTGGTAGCAGGAAATGGCCTTTAGACCCTCACAACAGACAAGTGTCTCAAAGCTGCAGCTGTGCACACATCTGCATGTTTGGTTTCTAAACAAAGCGCTAAACTATGTTGTCCATAAACTTAACAGGGAGCACAACTCTGTGCCAAGATGGAAACCCAATGTGAATGAAGGACAGAGTATGGAAACCCCCCCCAGCCCCCAGTGCCAGGGAATTGATCAAGGCAGTCACAAGTAAAACATGGGGTGGATGCATTTTTTATGTTTATCACACCACCACGTGCAAGAGCCTTTCTTTGTCTTTGACAAAAACATTAAAATGTTTCCAAAAAAACCAATCCAGACCTCTTACTAACACAAATCAGAAGTTACAGACAGACGACATTGATATTCTGAAAAGCTTTCCAGGGACTTCACTGTTCCACTGTTTTCCCTACCACTTTAACATACAAAATACAGGTGTGGCTCTATACCTTTGTGACCACCCCACTCCGGACAAGGGCTCTCTCAGCAGAGTGGAACCTGGCACTCTCCGTGCTGACTGCACAGGAAAGGACCCACAGGCTCGGGAGAGCCATCAGCGCCACCAGGATACCAGCCCCCATCAGGGGACTGCTGCCTGACAGGGCAGTGCAGCACACCTGGCAGAGCACAAACACAATAGCACACACAGAAGGGCACAGCAGCCTCCCCCTGCAATGCACCCTTAAGGTCTCCTTCAGCCCATCAGTAGCACTCCCTGTTCCCCAGAATACCTTGCCCAACAAACTTGTTTTCTAATGAATTGCCTTGAGAACTTGTTTTTGTCTGAATCACAGCTGGAGTGAAATAACATTATTGTGACTGGACTTTTGAGGAAAATTACTGACCTCGATTGAGTCCAGGATGGAATCTGATGGAAGAGTAAAGCCGAGCATCTCACAGCCCTATGAACGGGGGTCCCACGGGAGGCCCTTTGAGGTCCCATGCCCCCAGTGGCTGTGCCAGCATGTCCCTTGGAGCAGGATGTGCCTCTTGGTGCTCATCAACCCACAGGTTTGGGACTCAAAGAAGCTTCATCAAAAACTGACAGTGGGGCCTGGGCTGGTACCCCCTCCTTGAGGCTGAAGCCTTCGCCCACTGGGAGATGCAAAGGCATCCCATGTGTGCATTTCACTGAACTCTGGGGGAGCTTTAAACACAGGCTTTGTACATATGCACACACACAAAGGAATATTTGGATATATACATGCATGTGTCTGTGTGCATGTGTGAAAACTGACTTCAACACTTTACTGCAAGTGTAGCATCAGTGCTGCCATCTTAGATGCAAAATTAAGTTACTGTTGTGAATATGGTAAATCTACAGAATCATTCTGTAAGAGTCAAATCAGTTAATAATTAAGTGCTGCCAAATCCCTTAGACATAAAGCACTGAGCAATTCCAAGGGTAGGTTTGGCAAGGGGTTCATTGTGAAACTTGTGATCCTGTGGGAGGGTCTCCCTTCCCCTTCTGCATCCTTACATTCTCCATCTTCACCCTTTTGCATCCCCAGTCTCTGTTGTGTGTCACTCCATTGATTCTAATCCAGTTCTCCTTTGTGTGCTTTATCTATGTGGTAACAGAGCAAACCTTGCCAGAGAACTTAATTGTGTTTTCACAAATTTGTTGTAAAATTGCTTCTGTTGATACCTTTGAAAGTGCTTTTTTACATGACCTTGACCACCCAGTCACAATACAAGTGAACCTGCACTCCAGGTGCAAGTGCAGAGCACTAAGGCTCCTGTTCCTGGAAAGGGGTTGTCAATGTCCAAGATTGTGATGTGGTGTTAGGGCGGGTTTTTGTTGTTTTGTAATTTTTTTTCCTCTCTCACATGGAAAAGGCAATAATTCCCTGTGGGATTCCCCTCCAAGGCTGATGGAGGCTGTAGTCACTGCAGTCCAAAGCACTCTGAAAACGTATGTTTTGGAAATACCCCAAAAATGCTACCTCAGCAAAGCTTACTCTGAGAAGGAAAAACACTTCCCTGCAAGGAGGACTTGACAGACTACCAGAATACCCTCCTAGTGGCCATTTCATGCTATTTTAAAGTTAAAATAGAAAAAAAAAGTCAAACAGCCTCCCAAACCACTGAAGATTTGTGCAAGTTAACCTGACATCCAAGGATACCCTTAAATCCAAGCCAGCATTCAGTCTCTAAATAAACATGGTTAGCATCTCCTTCCAAGCAAGTGTGGTGGAGTCTGGAATTTGGGCAATGCAAGAGACCAGCCTTAACCAATACAAACCACCACCACATGGAGAAGAGCCTCTTTTACTGTTTTAAATGCATCATGGTCTATGCAGCCTTCAATTCACCTACCTGTGAAGAGTTTAGGATTAAATACGTCATCACCTGCCAAAGCATTTGGTTTTAAAACATGTATAAACCACCTAGGATGTGTACACAAACTGATTTTATGTTGGAAGATACAGTTACAATTAAAGGCAAATGCAGAAATTTTTGGAACAACACTGTCTGGAAAATACATTAAAACCAAAGAAAATCAACTGAACAACAGTCTTGAAAATGCTTTATTGAACCGTGTGTCTTATTGTAATGTGCAGAAGATGTGTTTGAAAAACTACAGCTTGAAAAATTTTTGAAAGTCTTCAACAACCAATAAAAAAAGTCCCCTGCTGGGGGTAACTCTCAGGGTAACCAGAGGCTGCATGTAAAGTTTTCTGTTGCAGAGACTTAAAAAAAAAAAGATAAAAACCCAACCAAAGCTAATGCTGTTCTACATGACAACAATCAAGATTTGATGATTTAAAAAAAGAAAAAAAAAGAGAGAGGAAGGAACTTAAACTCAGTCTATAGGGTTGTTTTTTCCTGCTGTTATTTTGGATTAGCATACATGTCACAGTTCTGCTGAGAACACCACATGGTGTCTAAGTCATTACATTTACTCTACAATGCTGCTGAGATGAGATACAGAGAAAGAGAGAGGGGGTGAGGTGAGAGATCTGGAAAGACATCATTATGATATAAGCCTAGTTTAAATTTTCATCAGAAGCTGTGTGCACTTTTGTTTTTATAATCTAACTTTACATTCAAAAAAACACACCAAAAAAACCCAACCAACCAACCAACCCCCCCCCCAAAAAAAAAAAGAAAGAAAACCAAGACCAAACACCCCTTGTGTCCTTGCTTTGGGGCTATTAAAAATTTCTATGCACAAGAACACCATACTCTGTTTTTTTCCAAACCAGTAGGATTAACAGTATAGGCATGTAGGTGGCATGATTCAACTAAAAGGCTTCTTTTTCCCAACTTTTTTATACCAGCAGAAATAACCAAAGGAAACAATAAATAAAAGGTGCTAAAGTTAGCATTAAGAATTTCTTGTAATACACTGACAGTCTGGGAATCCAAATCCTCAAGCTCTCCTGATACTGTTAGGTCTCTGCAAACTATGAAGCAAATACATAAATAACTCAAAATATGATTGAGGCTGTGAAAGGCTTTTAAAACTAAGACAATAGGATCCAGATTAACTTTTTTTTTTAAGAAACACAGTGAATATATGAATTGTCTACACCTGAATAAAACATATTTAACAATTAAAAAATTTTAACAACCACAACAAATTAAAACTTGAAACGAAAGTGAACATCATTTGATTTTAGGGCACACAAAAGCCCCTTGCAGTAGCTTCCAGCAGTGGCCTTACTGTTGTGTCTCCTACAGATGCATAAAAATGAAATTTAACTCCACACTGAGGTGACGGCTGAGAGGGCAACATAAGGGTCACATTCAGCAAACCGCCACACCCCGGTCACGACAATGTATCCCACTGCAGAGTTTCCATCCTGTGCAGGAACAGCACATGAAGATGTCATTCTGTCACATATTATTAAAAAGCTAGTTTGTGGCCACAAACTAATACTCATCGCTAACCTTTTCCATCACATAACCTTTGAATAATGGGAAAGCTTTGTGTTTTATAGTTTTACTCCTTGTATTTAAGTTTTTAAATGACAAGGTCACTAAAACTCATGCACGCTGCAAAAAACGTCATGCAGTAGTTAAGGTAAACCATCCAAGCAGTTTTTATTCATTAATATTCATAAATACACACAGCAGCTTCATTAGAGATTTTTCATTTTTTTTTCCTCTTCAGTTTGAATGTGGAGTATTAGGAGAGCCATTTGCATGTCAAGGTACAGGACACAGAGCCCTTGGCTCTGCACTGCAACCTACATTTACCTGCTAGAAGTAAAAATTAGTTAAGTGGAAATGATTATCATATATATCTTTTCTCTCTTTCTTTTGAATGTACACAATGTAACAAGAGTGACAGACCTGAAATTACAATCACCAAAACAAACCCAAGATAGTTGTTGTCCACTTTCATTGGCAAATACAGCACAGAGGACATTGTCTGCAAAGTGGGATGTCATCAAAGAGGAGGTGGAGGAGGCTCATTTCCTTTATTACTCTCTTTTAAATTTAGGTTTTCTAAAGCAACATCTAAAGGCATAATATCTACACAGCCCATAGCACCAAAATCTGCAATCTCCCCCCGCTCATCCTCATCTGAGGAGGAACTTTCTTCCTGCATCAAGGTGGACAGTAGAAGCTCCTGAACAAACAGGCTGCAGTCTGCCCGCTCGCTCTCCATTGACTGACGCTCTGCTTCTGACATCTTCGGAT